CTTCCTGGGCCCAGAGGGAAACGGAATCAGGTGCCTGGAGCGATCCAGGTGCGATCGCGCTCTTTTCCACCCACGTTTTTGCATCCGAAAGCCGATCGCAACGGCGACTGAAAAAAAGCGATCGCAACAGTGACCGATCTAGGTGGGTCAGACACCTAACACCACAAATTGTGTCAAACGTTTCGTTTACCCTCTCTCCAACTAACATAGCACCTCACAGAGGGTCGCTTCAAGAGGAAATTGATCTTCCAGGTACCCTCACGCGGGTGCTATGTTAGTGGGAGGGAGGGTACCACTCAAATTGCCCAACACTTTGGAGTCCAAAAGCTGGGGGAGTCAGCTCAAGGTTGACTCCGCACGACAAAAAGAACACCGGCGAAACAAAAAAAAGCGCCCCTTCTCGCCGGTGTGCAGCTGACACTTGGACAACTCGCAGGGAGTAAGCTTGAAAAAAGTTGGGAAGAGCTACGGCAAAAGGTCTGTGACAAACTCGCCATTCCATGTTCCACTGCCTGGGGAGCTGTGTCGATTTACCTCCACAGTAGTGCTGGTGGGTCTATGAAAATGGTAACTCGCTCTCTGCTCCGGTAGAAACATGAAGGTCAACATCTGCAAACTGCGCAAGAGCTGAAACTCACACCGAGCTAGAAACGAAGGTTGATTTAAGGGGAAACTTGGACGACATCAGTTGTCTGTCAAGTCATACTTGCCTGTAAATAATGAAGCCTTGGTCCGCATTCAACCTTAGATAGGATTTTAATATGCTCGGTCGTCGTCACTTTAGTAGAGGGCAAAAATGCAAGACATTGAGAAACATGGTCCCGCAAGACACCTTCCAGCCGTTTCGGTTCAAGTTGCCACGCCAACATTGCTAACGGGAAATCAAAGCCGGGTGCGCAGGGCTGGAAGGCGAAATTTCAAGATCCGTCCTCTCTTGGCTTCCTTTTGAAGGGAATCTGCACCAGTCATCAGCGACTACGTGCGAGAAGAAAAAAAGGGACCTTGCTCCGGCCTGCCCGTAAGCCCAACTGTTGGGCCCCGGCGGTGGCGCCGCTTCTCGAAGTGGTTCCACTGGCCTGAACACTGCGAAAGAAGCGTGGCCCGAGCTTGGACGCTCAGTTGAATCCCTGAGTTGCTATAGTTGTGTACCTACCCAGAGGGTCCTTTGGTACTTCATGAGGATGGCTTAAAAGGGGTCGTTCAGTACCTCCTTAGAAGGTACCAAGGGACCCTGTGGGCTGGAGTCTCCATGACCTTTTAAACATGGTTGGTCATTACCTATCATACTGGGCTCATGGACCTAGTTTTATTTCGAACCGGTCGTAGAAACTCCAGGTACACACACGTTACCCCAAGTCCAAGCCAAGCCTTATACCAAGGCGACTCAGGGTCGGCCCGGGTCTCAAAGAACTAGGCAGACTTCTCTCGGCAGCGGCCCGTCTTTAGCGGCCCGCGATCCAGCGCCATGTTCAGAACCTCTAATCAGGCACCAACATGAAACAAACTTCCAAGATGGAAGTAAACCCCAAGATTTCATGCGTTACACATTCATTTGCAGCTTTTTTTGTGCTTTGTCGCGACTTAAAACTCAAGGCCTTGTAGTGTAGGCCTCTAGGGCTCCGGTCAAAATACGTTTTAACTCGGCACGTGGCCTGCGCCTTTCCACGCGAGCCTCGGGTTTTTGCGCTCGACGCCTTCTGGCATCCATCGGTATACCTTGGGAAACATGTCTACGCGGAAGGTCAAAGATGTGGGTGTGGCTCAAAATTAAACAGAAGGGGCAAACCGCAGGTTTTGGTACCCATGTTTCCACTTACCAGGGCAACCCATTTTGGAATTCCGGTTTTTTGAGCCACAGCCATGTCTGTCTAGTCTGCTTTGCTGATCGCGCAGTGGTTTGATGATAAATTCGCTACGTATGTCTCATTTTTATCCAGCACAGCGGTACCTACCTGAACATCGCAGAGCCGGGGAAGCGACCCTGACCAGTGGATCCATCAACTAAGGCTTTACATATTCAGGCCTTGGGTCCCTCTGAGCTATCTAGTCTCGAGAACATATTCTTTAAGGATCTTGTCTAGGTCCGGACAGGTTAATTCCATGGCAGGCCCCGCCTTGGCCATCTGAAACATCGGCAGTTTCCCGTTGGGGTTTCTTTCAAACTGATAAAAGAAAGGTAGCCCACCACGCTTTTGCCGTTTTCCTTTCCCATCAAAAATGAGTACCCACGGACACCACACGGCCCTCTGGCCTTGTGCACCATCGTAGCCCCCACGAGCGATCCTGGCAACACGAAGAGGCGACTTGGATCCCCAAACAAAGGACACCCAGAGGGTCCAAGTACTTCATGAGGATGGCTCTTGGGGGGTAAAAAGGGGTCGTTCAGTACCTCCTCAGAAGGTACTTGGACCCTCTACATACATCACAAGCTCGGTTCACATCACGAGCTTATGTCACGTACCCGAATCGGAAAGCTCGCTGGAAAGATCTCACGAAACCATGGGCTGTTCGCGATGCCCAAAAATCACCGATCGCGAGCCAGCGGCATGAACAGAGGGCTGTTGAAGCGAGCCAAAGGTTCCCTATTTGGTGACAGCTTCTCTCGTTGGTTTGGTGGTTGCCAGGTTTCCCTTTACCCTCTACCATGGGCTCAAATCCGAATCCAGACGAATTTCCAAACCACTTTCTGGCTTCGAGGATAGGGGAGTTCCCTTTGAACCTCGAGGGAATCAAAGCCACACTCCAAGCCCGTTCAGCCCAGACAGTTTTTCTTGGTACCTTCTCAGGTACTGAAGGACCCCTTTTTACCCCCCCCCTTTTAAGCCCTCCTCAAGTACTGTCCGGGACCCTCTGGGTAAACCGGGTAACCTCCCAAGGCTGAGCCACGGCTCGAGTTCACGAAGGACTTTCCCTCCAAAGGACGCCTGGGGCTTCCACGGCAGGTGCCTAGCGGCCTAGCTCCACAAAGCCCCGTAAGCCACGCAGAACTCGTGTAGAACTTTTCCTGTGCTTCTGCGAGTTGTACCTGACTCCTTCACGTCTCACTGAGCCACACAACACGCCGTGGGGTTGGCTCTGGATCAGATCTGAACCCACGCCCTAAGGATGTGGGCCACCTAGCAAGTGTTTGGTAGCTCTGGTTCTAAGCAATTTACCGTTTACCCCTGTAATAAGTCCAAGTAGGTCCGCAATCTGCAGTGAGACATCCCTACGACTTAAGCGAAACCACTGCCATCTGTAAGATTTAGGATGTAGGAATGTTTTTGGAGCAACCCAGTCAGAATTAAAAAAAGAAGAAGAGGGAATTGTCTGCTTGCGGCCATAGGATCCCACCTCTTCCTGGTGAATCAACGCCTAAGTTTGGCCCCAGAACTTGACCCACAAAAAAACAAGTATTCTAAGGGTTGATTCCCCAACCCCCCAAAACCTTGACCGAAGAGTTTTCCGGAACCACTCACAAGATTTCCAGAGAAGAAATCCACGCCTTGTTTTTGAAAGGAGAATTCTGTTGGGAATTCCAACATTTGGATCAACTCCATTGTTCTTGGTTGACGTTGCAAGGGGGGCAAAAAAACAACTAGCAGTTAAGTGGGGATTTCCCACTAAACCACAACAAGCAACAATGAAAAATGTTTCCCAACAACAACCTTGTGTTGAGGGGGCGGTCTAAAAACACACAAACCAGAGTCATGTGTGACTCTTCGCCTTTCTGTGCCCTGGCCTTAGCCGGGGGCTGCCAGGAGTGCCCATTGCATTCCAAGTGTTGCGTCAACCGTTGTCTTCCGCTGCCAAGGAGTTGGGTTTGTCTCTAAAGGGGGGGCCAATAAAAATGCGGATTTGGGTTTGCCTTGAAACAAAGGTGAAGAGGCTACCCTCCAAGACACATACCCACCCATCTGTTGACTGCCCTTTTTGGGGGAACCTTCATCGCTCCCCCACCCCAAGGAGGTGTAGAACCTTTTTGTTCAAAGGGCTTCAAGAAACCACCAATGGGGGGGGCATTCCTTGGTGTTCCCCAAAAATCAGGGACTATGTCTACGTTGGCTTCCTGGTTTCCTTTTAGATTCATCTAAAACGCAATCTGAAATTGGGGAGCCTGCTCCTGGGGCTGTGGGCACCTGGAGTTTTGAGCCATGAATGCCCTCTGGTACCATTGGTACTCAACTGCGGTTTCGGAAGCTTGCCAAGCAGCCAGTGAATTCACAGGCCTTGGTCGGTGCTTGGGTTTGGTGCGGATTTGAACCCATGGCTCTTGCAAGGAACCTAAGAAAAGGGTGCCCAATGGGCGGCTCACCAGAACCCAGGATTCAAAAGGACTCCGCCCTAAAATGCGAAACTGTGCGAAATGAGAAGCACCAACCATGGGACAGCTTGAACTACCTAGAGTCTCCTTCCGACCCGAAATAAAAATAGTTGGTCATTCACCTAAATAATTGTTGGTCATGGACCTATTGTTATTTAAAGGGTCAGAAGGAGACTCCAGGTACGAACACGTTCCAGCAAATTCCAGCTTCACCTTTGGCGGTTCCCGTACCTCCCGTGATCCCTTGCCGGCACTGTTGTCCGAATCCATGGCCAAATTAGCCACTCCTTAAACCGAAAACATAAAGGAAAACACGAAATTCTGGGTGAATTATCGAAACTGGGCTGTCCGCTTTCTGATCCCCTGCTAAAAGTTGACCTTTTGTGGATTAAATGGACATCCCCACTAAACCCTAAAAACCTAAAATCTAGGCGACGGCTGGAAACCGCCAAGGAAAGTAAGGCTCCCTATCCACGAAACCTTCCTGGGTGAGGTCCCATACACCCTTAATTTGTGATGTCCTTATAATCCGGGCTGCCCTCAGATCCCCCGCTGGAAGCTTTACTTTTAGCGGGTTAAATGGAAACTCCAACAAACACTAAAAGGCTAAAAAGCTAAGGGGATCGCTGGGAGCCACCAAGTAATTTATCCAGATTCTTTCCTCCCACAGCAGTGCTCAAACATTCCTCCGATTTTTCAACCCGCCATGTGCCTATCTTCGGCGCACGACGCCTGCACATTGCCGTGGCCATCGAAACGCAAATTCAGTCGTGAAACGCTGTCAGCTTCGCCTGGCCAGAAAATGTCAGGGGCAAATGCTTGAATAGATCCCTGGTATCTAGAATCAAACCCATGTTAACCAGTGGAACCCACACAAACCATCCAAGGAATTCCGTTTAGCTGATAACCACCTTTCAAAACTAAAACATGGCTCGTTACCCGACCCTTCGTTGGACCCTTTTGTTGGGACCTTTTGCTCGGAGCTTCTGTTGGATCCTCTCACTCTGTGCACCACCCCCCAAAAAAAAGTGCACAGTCCAGACACTACCTGAGTCACAATCAAAACCTGGTACAAAAATGGTCGACCCAGAACCGTGTAAAGAACTAAGAAGGCGGATATCCGCAGCTATTTATGGCTGGGATCGTCCTTTAGCTTCATCTACCCGAATCGGTTTTGAGCAAGTGGCTCACCTGACCTAGCGGCTTTGGGTCTTCAATAGAGGTTCTCTTATGGCTTCTTAAGGTTGCTATTGCTACCCATAAAGTGTTCCAGGCACCACAAAAGTGATCGGTTTTCTTGTCCGCAAGTGACTCATGTGGGTGTGTCAGCTTTTGGGGGGCCATCCTAGAACAGGCGATGTTCGGTTGGCTTTCTGTTAAAACCCAAAAAAAAGGTACCCCGCAAAAATAACCACAACAAAAGGAGTACCCCCCCAACGGGAAAAAAAAAAAAAAAAAACAAAAACGAGAAGAGGGGTACCCCCCCAAACAAAAAGCCACAAGAAAAGGGTACCTCCCCCCTAAAAAAGAAGAAAAATGTACCCCAACAAAAAAGCACAAACAAACGGTATCCCCCTCCCCAACAAAAAATAAACTAATCAAAAACAAACAACAACAACAAAAATGGAAAAAAAAGGTGCCCCTGAAAAAAGAAGAAGAAGAAACACATAATAATAAAAAAGGTACCCCTTCCGCAATGCCGCAAACGAAAGGGTACCCCCAAATCGGACAGAGCCCACAGCCTCACTCACGTCCGTCCGCAAGCCCCTGGATCTCGCGGATCTTCGCCTAGGAGTTTGACCAACAAAAGTCAGCTGAAGGATCAGCCCATCGCAAGACCTCAAATAGGGCCTTTGCCAAAACTGGGCTGCTTCAGATCCCCCGCTAAAAGCTTAACTTTTAGTGACCTCCATGCTGCCCAGTTAGCTTGCCGGCCTGTCCGTTGACAGGTTGAATGGAAACTACCACTAAACACTAAAAGGCTAAAAAGCTAAGGGGATGGCTGGGAGCCACCAAGAAAAGATTTCAAATAGGGTCGTGGGACAGGGGTATTCTCTGCGAAACACTCTTGAAGCAACATCCTTCCTGGTCGCTTCGCTTGAGTCCCAGCCCCGCAATTCGGTGCGGTTTACCTGGCTTCTTTCCACCTCTCCATACCTCGGAGCTACCTGAACACCGTGCACCCGAACAGATTTGCCCCAGAAGGACGTGCCGTTGGCCCACATGACCCGGCGCCGACCGGCCGCTAGGCCGCTAGGCACCGGCGCCGACCGGCGGCATACGCATTCGGAGGCACCCTCTGCAGGGCTCCTCCCCAAAGAATGAAGAGCAAACACCTGGGAGAAACGGGAGACAACTCTTTGGCACGAAACGAAATTTTAACATTGTTCCATGTGTGTTTCTTGGAGCCCAAAAGTGGATCGATGGTGTCAATGGAAACCACACGTCAATTCCATGCAACTGTTTGAAGACAAGGAACTCTAGGCAACCCCAGTAAGTTCCTCAACTTTGTTGGGGGGAGGAAATCCAGGCAGTTTCTGCCGGATCGCCCCCCAGTGGTTTCGTATCGCGCGCTGGGCGCCGGGCCAGGTTGGCCCTTCGGCCCTTGAGATGTCCAGCGCCCTCCCCGCGGTCCCGCAGGCGCCTCGAACGATCCACGGATCCCTGGATTCGACTAAAATCGGCTCCGTGGAACTTTTTTTGCTGGTGCGATCTGGTGCGCTAAGGGAATGTGGGAATGCCAAGAAAAACCCATCCAGGTGGTTTCCTTTCACGGGATAGGTTCATTCCCTCAGTCCCTGACAAGGTTAGGGCCGGTCTGACTTCGGGTTACATGAGTCAAAATTCATGACGTATTCAAGTGATCCCAAATGAACAGAATCTAAAAGGTTGCCGCTCACACGGAAAACCTCACGAATTTGGGGTCCTGGTTTGGATCGTCAAAGGGACCTGTCGGGTTCCCTGTCAATTGGTGGGGTACATGGGGTCTGCCTTCCTTTGAAGCTGGAAAAATGGGTGGTTTCACAGTGTGTAATAGGTCACCGATCAAACCACTCCTGAAAGCTGAAGAAAACAATGCCGAAGGGCATTTTCAACTACAAGTACCACCAACAACACCCATGCCTTGCACCCACATCAACCCATGAGTGCGCCTAGATTCCGCCTTGTAAAGTACTGAAGAGTTTATGTGACCCAATCCAGCAAGACTCAGTGACCCGACCGACCGACGGCAAAACACCCCACATGAGTTGCAACATTGTCAAACATCCTTCTGTGCTTGGTTGACGTTGGAATGGGAGCAACAGTTAAATCTTAGCAGTTCAGTGGGGATTTCTCACTAAACCGCAATAAGCAGAAATGTAAAATGTTTCCCAACAACAACCATGATGGCCCCTTAGGAATCCTAACAATTGTTATCTCAATTTCCTACTAGATCCATGGGCTATGCCTGCTAATCCGAACTGCAAGGGTCCAAAGAAACCATAGCCCTCAGGGATCCTTACATTATACACCTGAACATTGCCTGGTAAATGGTGGTTTCCCTTTATTTTGGCGGAAAAAGCCATGTTGCAAACGGGCAAAATGTATCTTCTAAGGAGCCCCTTTTGGCCTGATTTGGCTTAGGCACCCCAACAAGGTTTGTCACACCAAGCTCGTATGCTGCTCTGCCAGTCCGCATGGAGAACAGCTAAAACGCACGCCACGCAGAGTAAACATTTGCATGTCGGTACATGGAGAGTCTTAGGATCTTGAGAACAAACAGGACTCCGTATATTTGCCCTTAAGCACCACTCCAACACTCACCTTTCATGGGCCAAAAAGATGATGTTTAAAACCAGCAAAAAGGGACATATAGGACTGGACCCCTGACAAAGACAAGCCCAGATGCCTCAGGCAACGGGCTGGGGTTCTTGGTCCTGGGTCTTGTTTTGGGTACAAAAAGACAGGCACGGCCAAGACATACTAAGCCGATGTTGTTTGTTTGTTACTCGTCGTCAATCCAAAGTACGCATGAAGCTACGCCCTCTCCTGCTACTGCATTGAAATTTCCTGCCTCTCGCGGTCGGATGGCTGCCATTTCCATCCTTAGATGTGGCATGATGTGGCGCTGGCTGATCAAGATGCGTTGCACTTTTCTACATGTTATACACTTTGGGTTGGCTTTAGAATGATGGCCCGTTCACCCCGATTGAAAGGCGGGCAAGTAACAACAGCAAGGGCGTCCACCTGCGTCAAACCATGCCTTGGAAAGGTGTCAGATGTAGACCCGGGAATGAACAAGAATCCCGGGATTGATCCCTGAAGAACAAACACAGGAACACACTTGGGTATGTGTTTTCGTTGACGGTATGATTGTTGAGTCTTGTTGAAAGCAAAACAAAACAAAAAAAAGCCAGAGGAAAAAAACAAACTACCAGTAGTTCAGCCTCTCTGATTTTGAGATCAACCTTCCATAGAAATTATTCCTGAAAACCCGCGGTTTTTGTTTTGCGGTTTTTCCTCGGCGAGCTTCCGCTTTGGAGCTGGAGATTCATGGCCAGCCCGCTGAAACCGATGAACACCGAGCGGTTCGGAGCCCAAAGGTTTGGGTCTCCATGCAAGAGGGGTGTGATGTTTGTGTGTGTTTCTCTTTCTTTTCTCTTGTTTGTGTTTTTTCCCCTGGTGGGGAGCCATTGGCGGTGTGTGTGTGTGTTTTTCCTGGTGGGGAGCCATTGGTGGACAGCATGTTGCCCAACATTCACGTCCTTTTGTACCACTTCTCAGGTGACACTTTTTGCTCCGCGGAAAACATCGCCTTTGCTGGGCCGGGTCCTTACAGATTTTCTGGTAGACTGGCTCTCAGCTCCTTCCGAAAAGCCGCCAGCTACTGGGCGCACCATTTCACCCATGCTCAAAATGGTCAGCCCCAAAAATTTTTAGGTGAAACGGAACCAACCTGGGTTCTGACTTGGATAGTCCCCAGAAACTGACAGTCCGACCCACACCCACTTCTTCTGTTGCCTTTGCCCATCTTTGCTCACACAAACAAAAGGGGTAGAATTGCCCCGGAGCTACTGTGGATGGACGAAATCCTGCACCACCCAAGAAACCCTAGAATGATTCGATTCCCCTGTAAATACCAACAAACAACGGTTTCCCATGGTTTCAAAGTGGATCCACAGTAGTAAATGGATTCGTTGGGCGGACGCTAGTTCCAGTCTGTCGTGCTTGGCTTTGGGTCCCTGGCGAATCGGCGGCGCCACCTGACGGACAAAACGGAGGTCCTGGCCTAGACACAGGTGCGAAGGGCCCAAACACTTCGAATGGGATTGTGGCTCGGCTGGAACTAGCACAAAACCTGTTTTTTTGCCTGGTTAGTAGAAAACAAAGGGGGCCCCAAAAAAGCAAACAAATAAAAAGGGGAACTAATTCTGGGGAAGGTGGGGGTTACTTTAAAAACCAGTATACATCATGAGAATGCCTGTAGTTATGCAGTGTCTCACTCATGAGAATGCTGGTAGGTATGCAGTTTCTCACGCATGTTAACACCTTTCAAACCAAGGAATCCGTGGAAACAACTCGTTCATTTGCCAGACTCATGCTGTCGTTTGTTGCAAGTGTTGACCTTTGCCTTGGCTGCTCCTCAGGATGACACACCTCCCTTGACTTGGTTGGACATGTGGACATGTTCCCACGACTTTCAGACAACTTATGGCTGAAATCAAACCACAATCCGGTGGATGTCCTGAATATTGCAAGTAAACCAAACACACTCAACCCCAAAATCATAGTCAATTGCAGTACATGAGGGTTGCCTTGTTCCCCTAATTGCAATATTTAGGGCATCCACGTACAAAGTCATGCTGGTTGCGTCTGGATGAGACAAATACCTTCAAGACCTCTCGATCCAGCAACAGGGTCTCCAAATCAAACCGGTTGAAAAGAAAGTTCCTGTTCGGAACTCTTTTCTAACTTTGCTTCGGGTTCCAACCAATCCCAGAGGGTCCAAGTACTTCATGAGGATGGCTGTTGGGTGGTAAAAAGGGGCCTAAGTACCTCCTTAGAAGGCACTTGGACCCTCTGGGAATCGGAAGTTTGGACTTGCGCGGGTCCGATCCATGGAATTCGCCCCAAAAGGCAGTTGGCTCTCCAAGTCGGAGCTGTTAGGGTTCTAGCTGAACCTTTCTTGGTTGACGTTCGAAGGGGAGCATTTCAATTTTAGCAGTTCAGTGGTTGGATTTCCACCACTAAGCCACAATAAGCAAAAATGTAAAATGCTTCCCAACAACAACCATGCTTTCTGTTCCTGGGCTCTTCAAGATGGAGCAAATCCGATTTTCCATGCCCCCATTGGACAACCATAGGGGCTTCTTCGGTCCAGGTGACAAGTCCCAGAAAACCAGTTTGGGGTATGGTTTAAAGGGAAGCCACGAGACAAACGTAATGTTGAGAAGCCTTGGAAATGCTTGCTGGAAGGATCCCAGTGAAACTGAGATCCAAGTCTTTCAATCTTGGGCGAGCCTGTAAACGGGACCGAATGGAGGAGAAAGCAGCCGGTAAATGGATTTTACTTGGCCAGTCTTAGCTATGCAAGTGAACTTGTTGCGGGAAATGGAAAACCTTGGCTGCCCTCAGATCCCCTGCTAAACGTTTCACTTTCCTTGGGTGCCGTAGATCCCCTAGCAAAAAGTTAAACTTTTTGCTGGTTAAAAGGAAATATGAAGGGAATCCAAAAGGTTAAAGTCTAAAGATCCGATGACCCAAGCCAATAGCGGTAGAGTTTTAGTGGGTCAAATGGGAACCCCCACTAAACACCAGTCTAAAACGCCTCTTGGGAACCGGATGGCCGGGAGCCCTCAAGAACAGGGCTGTGGGAAATGGAAGCCACGAATCTGTGATACAACAAAAAGGGCTTCCCAAAGACTAACCCTCCATATAAAGGGGGAGATTCCCTTGTATCGCAGAAGTGGGGATAACCCCCCCACAACCCTGCTCAAGAAACCCACCAGCTCGGACAAAGTAAGCAGGTGGCGTCTGAAAAAGAAAGGGCCCAGCTTCTGGATGTCACCCGCCTGCCCATCGCTGAAGCGGCCACCTGAGCTCGAATCGAAGGGGCTTCGCCAAGCCTCACACTGAAAGGAGCACCACGGTTTCTGGGGCTTCCATTTGCTTTTGCGCCCCCTGGAAAAAATAAATATGACTAGTTCGGGATAGATTGCATTCCCTTTAAACCAACAGGGGGAAATTGACAAAACAGTCTGAAGCAAATGGACGTACGGTTTTCCGATTTTAAGACAGGTGGTTTGATATTCTCTAGTACAATAAACAATGTAACGTTGGCTGTATATCCTTGGGCACGACTGGAGAAGGTTTCCATTTTGGGAGTCATGAAACCATGGCCCGCGCTGGGAGCTTCTACCATGGCACTGAAAGATGTCCATCATGTTCGACCCGTCACGACTCCCGATGGCGGTGGGAATAGGACAGGGAGTCTTTTTCTTAATGTTGACCCTGGATTACCAAACCCCCAAAAACCAAAAATATGGGGGGGGGGTGTTCACGGGGTTGACATTCGTCGGTTTTCATGGGAACCCTCTCCAAAGATAAGGAGACAAGGGCACCGCTGGAGGCTAAGGGTTTGATGCCCTTAGGCCCGTCCGGGAACAGTCACCGACAAGGGTTTGCCCCCAGGAAGTCTTCGGAATATGTCCCGTTTGGCCTTGTGGCCATGTTCAGCTGTAGGGTTGTTGAGACAAAGAAAAAACACTCAGCCATGGCTCCATCTACCCAGTTTAGTTTAAGTCCAAGGATCCCCTCGTGTTTTCGGTCCTTCATCCTTCCTTCATCCTTCATGGAGTTTCCTTGAAGGCTGTTGACCCCCCCTGCAAAAAGTTTAACTTTTTGGGGTTTAGTGCGGAAAACCTTTATTTCAACCAAAAAGTTAAAGTCTAAAGATCTGTTGCCCAATAGCAATCAAGGAAGGATTTCGGAACACGAAAGCTGTTGTGGAACCCAAGACGACCACTTCCATGGCTGGACAAAGAGAAGGTCACTGAGGAAATCGCAGCCGACCCAAAGAGAACATGTCCGTGTCGCTTATGTGGAGCGTCAAGTGACATGTTGGAACGGACAGACTTGGATCCCCAAGGCTACGGAACGATGACCCTAGCCCCAGAGCCTCTGGAGCCAAGGACTCCCTCCCCACCTCCCCTCCTCACGCCAAGTAGCTACCTGGCCTTGAGACTCCAGGCGACCTCGGGCGAAATCGCCGTTTTCAGATCCCCCCCCCGATCGACGTGACTCTTGTCTTTCGGTGGGTGATTCTTTTTTATTTTTTGAAAGAGGAAACCCGACCACTAAACTAAACAAGTCCAAACCAAACTGTCCCCGAAAAGGCAGGGCAGGACTCGGGTGAAATACTGCGGATGAACGAAATCCTGCACCACCGTTCAGAAACCCTGGTTTCTGACGCTTCCCCTGAAAATACCAACGAACGTTATGGTTTCAACCATGGTTTCCAAGTGCGGTCTCGGATTGCGTCCATCCACAGTATGGAACAATCGACTCACTCAAGGTTGCAGTTGGTGGCCTCCCCCACGGCCCTGGAAACCCAACTCAGCGCTTCCCAAAACTTCCCTCTGCCGAGCCGCGGCGTGCGCGTGGACGCGGAGCTGGGCGCCGTGTCCGGCGGGGAGGTGGCGCCTGAGACCTCGGCCCCAAGCGCTTTGCGCTCGCCTTCTCCCGCGCTTTCCTCCACATGGTTGGTTCTTGAATTTTGCCGTGGCTTGAATTCTGGTCAAACGGAAGCTCTAAAAGATGTTTCGATTTTGGGGAGCATGTAGAGCGTTGATACGAAGGGGCGAAGGCAGTTCAGGGTACCGAGAATCTCCATGACCCGAAATACATATAGGGTCAATGGCCCCATTATTTGAGGTAGTGACCCCATTTTTACAGGGTCGGAAGGAGAGTTGAATGGATTTGTTGCAGCCGTTGTGGATGTCAACTTCTTGAAAACTGCTTGAATGTCAACTTCTTGGAAACTATTTGGATGCGAAAAGCAACTTATTCAGCTCTAGGTCCGCTGCGGAGCGGACTTTTACTTGAGCCAAAACACAGAGTCGCACAACCTGTACATGCGTGTTGGGCATAAATAACAATTTGTCACTCCTCCTTGCTGGTGGAGCAGGGCTGATTTCACAGCAAACTCCCAAGAACTCGTGGCGGAGCCTGGACCAGGGACCTTCAAGATCCGAGCAATCCAAGCTGACCTTTACTACGTTCAACCAAGAAAACATATCCTGATCTACGCAAAGTCTCTTCCATCTGTACACCAGGCACGCTCTTGGTTGCGCTTGCCTGGGACATGAATGACCTTCAAGTGGTCCATCGCTACTCGCTCCTGGGGCCAGAGATATCTGGTCTGGACATGTCTAGCCTTGCCTAGTCCGATCCTATTTACAGTACCCTTAGCAGCAGTAGCCTCTTACTCTACCACTACTGAACTGGGAACTTGAAAATCTTCAAACAAGGCTTGCAACCCTAGTCCTACCGATCCACCCTTCACCAAAGCGTAGTACTCAGACTCACCGGTCGATAGGGCAATCGTTGACTGCTCGCGTGCTTCAAAACATGCTCGCCATACAAAGCGATCATACCTGTCGTGGACCGACGGGTGACCGCATCACCTGCGTGGTCGGAGTCGACCTGAACCCGCAGGTTCGATGGCTTTGCCTGTCTAGAAAGCAGGTGTCTCCTCTTGCTCCTCAACCTGCTCGTCTTCGTCAAACTCCACGCCGCGCTCACCCCCGAAGCGTTCAATCTCCTCACGCGATGGACCCTCACCGAACTTCGCAGACTGCCTGAACAAGCCTTTGAGAACCCGGAACTGACTGCTTACCTGGCCCCTCGTCCGGTCGTGGCGGTGAGTGCCCTTCTTGCTCTTCCGAGGTCGCAAATATGAGGGCTTACCTTTGCCTTTGGCCTTGCTCTTATCCCTTCCGGCTTTACCAGCCAGTGGGTGGTCCGGACTCCAGGGCCTAGCTCTGCTGCTGCTGGCCTCCGGATGCTGCTCTCTCACCTTGTCCGTTGCCCTCCCCAATCCGAATCGTCCGAAGCCACCGGCTGTGGCTCCTTGCTCTCAAGCTCCTTGAACTCCTTCGTAGGCTTGGCTGGCTCCTCCGGAACTGGCTTGTCTGGCGACCAGTCCGGTGATGTGGGGCCGCTGCGGCTTCCTCAGCCGCTGGAGCCTGCCGGACACCCTTCCCGGCTGAAGCTCCCCTGCGCCAGGGAGGTCCTGGTCCTGGACCTCCCGCGGTCCTTGGCGCCCTTCGCGCCCTTTGCGCCTTTCGCGCCTCTCGGTGTAGAACCAAAATACCAGATGCTCCGTCTGCCTGGATCCTCGCCGGTTCCCGCTAGCATGAAAAGTAACTTACTCAGCTCTAGGTCCGCTGCGGAGCGGACTTTTACTTGAGCCAAAACACAGAGTCGCACAACCTGTACATGCATATTGGGCATATATGGAGCAACAATTTGTCAGGATGTCAACTTGTTGGAAACTGTTTGGATGTCAGCTTGGTTGATTTGTTTGGATGTCATTGTTTGGAACTTTTTGGATGTCGACGTGTTTGCGAATTGTGGATGTCAACTTGTTGGAAACTTGTTGGATGTCAACTGTTTGGAAACTTTTTGGATGTCAACTTGGATTGTTTTTGGATGTCAACATTTTTTGGATGTCAACTTTATTGACACTTGTTGGATGTTAACTTTTTGGAAACTGGTTGGATGTCAACTTCAAGGAAACCTATTAGATGTCAACTTTGTGCTTCTTTTTTTTTTTGGGGGGGGGGTCAACTTCTTGCAAACTGTTTGGATGTCAACTTGTTGGACACTTTTTGGGTTTCAACTTTCTGGATGTCAACTTGTTGGATGTGCTGGACACCTTTTGAATGTCAACTTGTTGGACACTTGCTGGATGACACATAGTTGGATGTTGACTTTTGGGATGTCAACTTGTTGGACACTCTTGGGATGTCTGTGTTTTGGATGTCAATTCTTTGGATGTCAACTGGTTGGACGTCAACTCAACTTGTTGGACACCTTTTGGATGTCAACTTGTTGGGCTCTTTTTGGATGTCAAATTGTTGGATGTCATGTTTTTTGATGTCAACGTTTTGGATGTCAACACAACTTGTTGGACACGTTCTGGATGTCCACTTGTTGGATACTTTTTGGATGTCAACTTTTGGGATGTCAACTGTTTGGATGTCAACTTTGGGGATGTCAACTGTTTGGATGTCAACTTCTGTGGATGTCAACTAGTTGGACACTTTTTGGATGTCACTTTTTTGGATGTCAATCTTTGCGATGTCATTTTGTTGGATGTCAACTTTTTGGATGTCAACACAACTTGTTGGACACGTTTGCGATGTCAACTTCTTGGATACCTTTTTGGATGTCAACTTTTGTGATGTCAACTGTTTGGGTGTCATTTTTGGGGATGTGAACTAGTTGAACACTTTTTGGATGTCATTTTTGTTGGATGTCAATCTTTTGGATATCATTTTTTTGGATGTCAACTTTGGAACTTTGCACTTCCGTTTGGACAACAGGGTCTTTCAAGAAAAGCAAACAAATTCACTGGAATCAGCAACTTAATCAAACCTGGCGACTGTTGCACTTTCAATCCGTGCCTGCTAGTAAGCAGGCAATTCTTCACTGACAACAGTGCCAACCCTTCTTGGGGGGACTTACTTGTCTCTGTGGATCAGCAGGAAACCAATGAGAATCATACGCCCCATCAGACAATTAACACAAAGGAGATTTTGCCCAATGCGGGACGTCCCCTGCTACAGTGGAAGCCATAAATCTTGCAAGTAAGGGAACCCCTGGGTTAGGTGTGGTTTGTTTACTTGCCTATAGGGCGTCCGTATCACGGGAACCCACCCTCATTCCCAGCGCGAGAAAGGGTCAGCAGGCAACCCCTTCCGCAACGAAGTGTTGCAAATTGAAATATAAACAGCAAGCAACTGCCAGCAGCCCGACCCCCAACCACTGCTTTTTGGACAGTACTTGGGATTTTGGACACGGGAAAAAGCAGTGGTTGGGGGCGGGTGTGCTGGTGGGAGAATCAATGATCTGAACCGAAGGGAGGCCGATAAAAGCAAGCTTCATTCTAGGAGTTGATTCCCCATTCTTTTCAACCATCGTTCATCTCAAAAACCAGATGTTTCCCCAGGGTTTTGGTAGTTTGTTGGAAAGATTCAGATCGGTGGAAAGAATGGAAATGGAAGATACCACGAAAGATTTATGGGCGAGGTCGCACAGGAGAAGTCTCGCTCTGTTCCAAGTTGATCATGGCTCCAAAGGTGCCGGTGCTCCTTTTATTCCTTCTTTGGGGTTTGGCTCAAAATGCGTGCCAGCAAAATGGGTGTTCCTTCAACCCCAAACAAGGTACTCTCGCACAAAGAACCGCCCCACTTTGGGCGCCTTCTCTTTAAATTTCAAGTGGTATCTCTCTTTTTCGACTCAGGGTGGTCTAAGAAACGGTTTCAGCACTGGTGCACGGCCATCGATTCCCAATGGGTTTCTTTCATTGGCGTGTCAGATGTTCAGAACATGCCATCCATCACCACTTGAGTCGCAATCAAAACCTGGTACTAAAATGGTCGTAATCCCAGAACCATGTACAGGATTAAGAAGGCGGCCGCAGCTATTTATGGTTGGGATCGTCCCTTACTAACCTTCATCTACCCGGGTTTTGATTGTGGCTCACTTGATTTTGTAGGGACCTAACAGCACATCGGGGCTTGGTTTGGAGGCAGCCAAAATCTCGGTTGCGACATCTGCGAAGCCCTGCTAAAGTGACTCACTTTTAGTGGTTTAATACGGAAAAACCATTAGTTGGCAAAGAGTGAAAGTCCTAACATCCAAGCAATATGCACCAAAGAAATCGTGGGTTTCCTTTGTGCTTTTGACCAAACCTAAAAGAGGGTCCGCCGGAGGTCTGGGATTTGTTTGGGCCGGTCTCAGCGCGTGCAGTGCTGAGGGTGGCACACTGGCAGTCTCTCGTGCACGGCCTGGCAAAACGAATCGGACTGTTCGCCTATGGGCGTCTTCCATTTGCGAATACGTCCACTGGATAAAATGAGAAAATACTGTGCATTGGCAATGGGAAACCATTGTTTGTTGGTATTTGCAGGGGAATCGAATCATTCCAGGGTTTCTCGGGTGGTGCAGGATTTCGTCCATCCACAGTGTGTCCAGTAGCGATAGGTTCCCTTTGAAACCCAACATAGAAAATAACACCGTATTCTTAAGTTTGCAAGCGGTGGCTTGCCCCGCCTGCCGCAGTTCGAGCCTGAGGATAGCCTCGCTCCTGAGAGCCAAGCTCTGGCAAGGCAAATCCACAGTTTCTCTACAACATCAGCCTTCTCAAAGGATTCCTGGGCGTATGTGTTTTTTTTGTTTAAGGGATTTGCCTTTTTTGGTTGGGCTTTAAAGGGAGACCACCATTTTAGGGCATCCCCTCAAAAAAGACACACACACACACCCTTACCTTGTGAGGATGCACCAAATGACCCCTTTTGGCCCCCAACAGCCTCAAAAGGTACCAACAAACATCCTCTGGGTTTGAAGATCTTGCCAAAAATTGCTTGGCCCTCCAAGTCATGCCATTTGAACTGGACAAAACCGTGCTGCTTGATGTTTTTCTTTTCTTATTTTAATGTTTTTTTTTTTTTTTTTTTTAATATATACATATATAGTGACAAGCACAGCGATGCTTCTGAAGCATCCCCCCATCTTTCTAAGGCTGGCTACCTCCTGCAGGGCTCCAGTTTCAACATAACGGATCCACATGTGTACGCCGCATTTCGGATGGCCCCTCTGACTGATTCACAATCAACATTTGCTTTTGGGCCGGTTTTTGGGATAAGCTTTCCCAAACCTTTCACAGTGGAAAGACCCAAAGATTGAACCTCTACATGGGTGTCCCTTCGGTGAAGCGCAAGTTTTCACAGATCTCCTCCTGAGCATCGGACCTCAGCCGCCCCGAGACTGATCAGAAAAGCTCCAGCCTTCTGGGCCGACTCAACCTGTGCTCGATTTTTGAGGCTCGGTACCCTTTGTGTACAAAATGTTTCAAGAGCCAAAGGCCTCCAAAAAAAAGGTTGATTTAAAGATACATTCTGGCAGTCCAAATCCCTACTGTGGATGGACGAAATCCGATTCGCACCACTTGGAAACCATGGTTGAAACCATAACGTTTGTTGGTATTTACAGGAGAATCGAATCATTCTAGGGTTTCTTGGGTGGTGCGAGAAGCGGATTTCGCAACCATCCACGGTATTTTCATCAAAAACCCAAATGGTTTAAAACTCTCAAGCTGAGGGGGCTGGACTCATTGCAACGGACTCAGCCGGACTCTGGGCTCCGATTTTGTAACCGTCTGGCTTTCTGTGGCTCTGCGAGTGTCCCGGTAACCCAGGTAGAGCCAAAATTGATCTCCTGTGAAACGTCCTGTGCATAGGCAACACCCATCAAACAAACTAAACAACCAAGTATAGTCTTGCTGGCTCCACACCAAGCAAAATGCAGCTCCTGCTGTTCCCGTTTGAGACCAACCCAAATGAGGATTTCTCTTCACCACCCACTTTTGAGGGTGATTTTTGCAAGTAAATCTCGTAGCCAACTGTGGTCCTTCAACCCCCACCCAATTGGTCGAATTCACGTTCGGAGAGATGCCCAGATTAGGTGCGTATGATACTAACTTCCCGCAAGTAACATTCACCACCAGAAAGTATCCCAGTAAACCAAACCAAAAAAGGCTACCCTGAAAAAATACATTAAACACACACACAACAGACACACACACACACACACACACACACACACACACACACACACACACACACACACGCACAACACCTGTCCGCAAGACTTGTGGACCTTCATGGCTGACGTCGTCTTGTTTCTGATGGGCGAGCTCGTTATGCCCCGCGCGCGGCACTCCGAGCGCCGCACGCCTCCCGAAGACGAGCCAAGCCTTGTAAGCCCTGGCACTGAGCACGGCGAGTGGTGAGGCTTTGGCTCTGAGCACTGGGTGGCAGCCTGCACAGGGTTTCCAACCGGACAAACCTGCGCTCACCGATGAGCGTGAGCTTGGAAGGGAGGAATAAGAGATACAATATTATATTGGTGAAAATTGGTAAGGAATAAATATTATATTGTTTGGCTTTATCTTGTCCATTCCCTTCGCTCATGTTGTTTTTATTATTATTATTAACTATCATATCCTTTTCATTTGTTGAGATTAGTTAAGAGAAAGGGCCATTCCTTCTCCTTTGTTCACCCATCCTGCTCTTCGTTCCGTCGCTGGCTTCCAAAGTCTCAGAAATACAAAGGTGAGATAAAGAGAAGGACAAATACAAGAAAACATGCTAATAAGAAGATAACAGTAAATAATAAATAGTTCAAAAACTATATACAACATGTCGATTAAAGATAAGAAAGACAAGTATTCACTTCCAAGCTTATTAATATCTAATATGTTCCTGTAGATTGCTTATTTTGTATTTCTTTAATATATGTGTTTTCCTTTATTATTATTCCTTTTCCGTTGAGAAAAGATAAACCCCGAAGAAAGGATTGGCCGAAAGTCTCAACCGCTTGTTTGCCACTACTTACAGGGGCGATCGATGAAGGGTACGTCAGGTAAGTGGTGAGAGAAGTCATGGTGAGATAACCCACAAAAGCCATGGTTATAAGTCTCCGTTCAGTGGGTTGCAACCATGGTTTCTATCCACTTACGAAGTACCCGATCACCCCTTTAAGTAGAGTGGTCTTCTCAAAAAGGTACTGACCAAAACTGAGACATGCGAGAATGACATGTAGACTCTGCTCCATGTTTAGTGGGCAGTGGTTTGAAGGGAAATCATCACTGATTGCAATGTAACATGAGGTCAACACTTCCATTTGCTGGAATGAAAATATCTATCCCCCCCCCCTCCCGTTTTTTGCAGTCATCGGTTTCACTGGAGCTAGTTTCTCATTTCTGCCCAAAGGTCTCAAGCCAACCTGCGACCCTCGAAGCGACCCTCGCCTGCAAGTGTGGCTGAGGTCTGGCGCCCTGTGGCCTCCGCTTTTTTCGCGGTGAGAAATGGTCGGGTGAGCTCCCGGAAGGGGGAGTGGGGGGTCCCCCATTTCCGTTTGTCTAAACCTTCCCATGACGCTGTCGGTTCTCGGGAACATGATGGGCGAGTGAATGAGACAGAGAGAAGAGGAATGAGAGAGTGGCCATCCCCTCCCTTTCTCTCCCACAAGATCACCCAACCTCGAAAATGCAATCAGAAATGGAATTCAAGGGGTCACAAGGGTTGGGGATTCCCGCAGGCGGTAAGGAGAGACCCCTGTCTTGAGAAACACCCATATTCAGATGTTGCTTCGTATTTCACCCGTCAGAAGGTTGGCTATAGAAAGGAAATAGAAGGCCGCAAAGCGAAACAAACAAGAACATAGGTCTCACCTGCCCAAATGACCTGGAAATTAAAGCAACATGGACCACCAGAACAGGAAAACAAACAGGTCAACAGGTCGGGTTTGGACGACTGAAAAACTACCAATTCACTTCCCGAGTGGATTGGATCCAACACAAAGTTCAAACGGTTGTACAGGTGGAAGGGCGCAGTTGACCGCTGAGCTCCCTCCAAAGCCACCTAAAATCCGGGTTCTGCCCCAAAAAGTTCAGCCAAAAAGGTTCTGCACAAGAAAAAGGTTCTGTCCAAAAGGTTAGACGTGGGTTCTGTCTGTTTCTCAGGATTGGCACATATGTTATTCCCGTAGGGTCCAAGTACCTTCTAAGGAGGTACTCAGGCCCCCAAAAGCCACCCTCATGAAGTACTTGGACCCTCTGGGATTGTTTCAATCAATGCGTCAGCCACAATGGCACAGTTGAGCACGAGATGAAAGCCAAGTAAAACCACTTACAGTATAGTGATACATTGCGGGCGCTTCCTTGTTCACTACTTGCCATACGGGTGTGAGTTTGAATGGGGACCCTTTCGCCGTTTGGCAGGGCCCTGCGAGACACATCCACACGCCACCGTTGAACACCCAAAGGAAGCTCTATGCACCACGGCCCAAATGGGGATGTGTTTTTTTTTTGCCGCAAGCAGCGCGGTTGTATAGAGATTGAGATGATTCTGTGTTTAGCCATCACTCAGAGACACTGTGTAGCAGATTCAAACAGCTCTCGGCAAGGTCAAGATCCCCACCGTCCAGGACACACCCAGTCATTCAGAAACCAACTGTGCGCGCACTCTTGACATTCACATTCTTATGCTTGAATCTGTTTGCAGCCCCTCCGCGCGGCAATATTCAACCTTCTCCGAGATGGCACGACCAAAGTCAAATCTGGGTCACTGAGTCAGGGATGGCCACAATAGGCAAGCTGCATCTCGCAAAGGAACCATGCCCAATCTGGGGTCACTGAGTCCGGAATGGTCACACTAGCCAAAGAGCTGCATCCTGCAAAGGCACTACGGCCAATCTGGGTCACTGAGCCCGGAATGGTCACACTAGCCAAGGAGCTGCAGTCCTGAAAGGCACCATTCCCAATCTGGGTCACTGAGTCCGGAATGGTCACACTAGCCAAGGAGCTGAAGTCCTGAAAGGCACCATTCCCAATCTGGGTCACTGAGTCCGGAATGGTCACGCTAGCCAAAGAGCTGCATCCTGCAAAGGCACAACTCACAATCTGGGTCACTGAGTCCGGAATGGTCACACTAGCCAAGGAGCTGCAGCGCTGAAAGGCAACATAGCCGATCTGAGCCCGGAATGGTCACACTAGCCAAAGAGCTGCATCCCGCAAAGGCACAATTCCCAATCTGGGTCACTGAGTCCGGAATGGTCACACTAGCCAAGGAGCTGCATGCTGCAAAGGCTAAATCCCCGATCTGGGTCACTGAGCCCGGAATGGTCACACTAGCCAAAGAGCTGCATCCTTCAAAGGCACTACGGCCAATCTGGGTCACTGAGCCCGGAATGCTCACTCGTGCCAACCTGTGGCATTGCCCGAATGCGTGTTCAGCTATTTCAGTGGCACCGCTTGGGATTTCAATGACAAACATGGAATGCAAGTCAAGTTCATCGACAAATTGGTCAAACTCCCATCTGTGGGAGCAGGCAACAGCGTTTTGTTTAAATACTACGGACACGTCTGATTCTGGCGAAAGGCCTGCATCTGCAGCTGTCTCGTCAATCATCAGCCATCTGCCCCCCACGAGAATGTCGACCCGGGTTGTTTTGCGTGTGAGTTCATCATCCCAGCTGGCACTCCTTGATGCGCTCCTTGAGTTCCCGACCAGGCATGACTTCAAGAACCGTTGCCTCACCGTTCAGCTGCCGAAATGAAACCCTCATTGCCATAGCGGATCTAAAACACCAACATGGATGGCCTTGAGATTCCACGCTATACTTGAGCTAGATATGAGTTGGGAGATCATACAGATGAGCCCAGAGGGAATGACAGACAGAGAAGTCAGCAAGAGAGATCACCCAATAACTGTCTACGTGCATTTTCTTTTATCTGAAACAAGAGGATGGACATGACAGGAGATTGATAGGCGGCTATCGGGAACTGAGAGAGTACTTACAGGACCCATCAGACATAGAATGTCATATCTACTCTTGATATGGTAGCAAAAAACTGTGTTTTTTGCAGACTCCCAGTAAAAATGAACAGAACCAAAAAACTAAAAACCAAAAAACATGCCAAGAACAGTGAAGATGTAGGATTATTCAAGATCACATGTGGCCATGGGTCAGTAACCTATGCCGCCATTTTGGGGCGGATGAACGCCCATGTACCACCTATGTTGATGTTCAATAGGGGTACAGGGTTTTGACCCACAGCCATGTAGCAAGAAGAAGACACGGATAGCCGAATAATCAGACTTAATCTCAGAAACTTAAGTCGATTGATGGTAACGAGAGTGAAACAAATTGAGGAAAGGTGACGACTTGGTGAGTCTCCTATCCTGTCTCTTCCTTCTCAAGTTTTCTCGCTTCAGCCGTTGGTTTCCTCCATTCAAAGAAGAGACAAACTGGAGTCCTTCAAGGACCGATTGAACACTTTTCAATCGCCGCACTCGGTGCTGCTTGCGACGTTTCCCGGAGAACTGGTAAGCAGCACGGCTCCCAGCGAAAAAATAGGAAGTGAAAACAAGATCCTGCTTGCATACGATCCACCTGGGCATCCACGCACAAAAAAAAGAGCAAGAAAACCACAAGCTTCTACTTTGTTTTGCCCCCCTTCAGCAAGCTGTCTGTTTCTTGTCTCTCAAAGACCTGAGCAAAACGTCACCAGCTTTGCTGACGACTCGCCGACGCAGAAACGAAAAGGCCCAAGGTCGCAAACTAAGTTTAGCGATGTCACTGTGTGTTGACCCAGCCAATGTTGTTTGGGATTGTATGGATATGGCCATAGGTCAAAACCCCGTGCCCCCAGTGAACATCCCAATTCCCACTACAAAATACTAAAATGGGCGGTGCACCGGAAACCCCAAAATGGTACCATTGGTGTTGAGCCATAGCCATATTTGTTTGTATAAATATACCACATCTGATATAACATCCATATTGTGCATAGCATGCCAGACCATCGGCCGAGAGGACAGAGACTTCACTCTAGGCAGCTCGCTGCAATTTGGCAAGGTCGAGTTAAACCCCAAAAGAAACCCAGAGGGTCCCTTGGTACCTAAGGAGGTCCCCTTTTTACACCCTTTTAAGCCATCCGCATGAAGTACCAAGGGAATCTCTGGGAAATACAAGGATCAGCAAGGATCCCTCCGCGCGAATCACTGAGATTCACCAAGAGGCCACCTTTTCTTGTTCTGGGGGACTTGCTTTTGGTCGGTTTTGATGAGATCCCAAAAGCACATCAACAATTTCGTGTCCCGGATCGCCTATCGGACAAACCCATCAGGATCTTCCGGAAGACCTTTTCAACTTCGGCCCGATTCTCCCATCGCCTGGGTGGCCGAAGCTGTGGTGGAGCCGGCAACTGGGCAAGGGGCGATCGAGGTGTCGAAATCTGGGGCCCGCCAACATGGAGCTCACGAGTCCCCTTTGAACCTGCCATTTGCTTAAGCCCCCCGGAAAATATATATATATATATATCTTTATATATTTCCAGTAGTGATAGTTTCCCTTCAAAACCAACCGGGGGACATTTCCATATTCTTAAGCAAATGGAAGGACAGGAAAGTCGTCTTCCATGACTCGCCGTGTTTGTGGGAGGGTTGGTGGGGATTGGTGTAACCAACCGCAAGGTGTTCTATCCATTCAAATTAAAAGTGCGATCCTTCAATCCCCTTGGTATGGTAGCAAGAAACTTGACTTTTTGCAGCCTCCCACGAAACATGGACGGAACCAAAACACACACACAAAAAACAAAAACAGAAACACAAAACCTTGATCCAAGAACAGTGAAGCGACATGTGGGGCACCCCACCAGACTCTAAAGCTCCGTGCGCCTTTCCCTGAGGCTGGCCTGGGCTTTTCCTGAAGATTCACACTTATTTTCATTTGCGGATAGGCGCCTCCTGGAAAAAATGACAAATGTCCAGTGACAGCTTCCTGACAACAAGGGCAAATAACACATGTTCATCTCAGAAAATGGACAAAATTGTCTGGTAACATGGCGTATTTGGTTTCGGGTCAAATCCTCAGTCCAATCCAAAGCAGATTGATTGGCACCAGAGTGCTGCCACAAATAAACCGCATGACTCAACTGAGGGTCATGACCCAGGGACTATGCACCCAGCGCCCACTCCTCAGGGGCCCATCGCAGGCCCAAATGCAGGTTAATGAACGCTGGTTCACCATGGGGTGTGGTCACAATCCTTTCTGTGGACGCTATACTTTGCCCGCGACCTGAATGTCAGGATCATTCGAACTGGTGGGGTTCCCCCTTGTTCGTCGAGGGCGTTATGCATTCTGGGTCAACATGATACTAGTGAAGGCATCTGCGGCACCCGTCGCCTCGCGGTCCGGTAGGCCGTTGGCCATGGCTTCGGAAGGTCTCCGCAATGGATCCGAATATCGCCTGCGCCCTTGCAAACGGCCGAAGTGTCTGATGGATTTTTCCTTGCATACGGCGAATTTATGTAATGCACGGCGTCTGCTTGTCTTCTCATGCAAACGGCCGGAGCGAACCAAGAATCATCTCTTTCTCAGAGGGCAACACAAGCATCAACGAAGAGTCTGTCGTGTGATATGTTGACCCGGGGGAAGAACAATCTCACTTGCCCCTTGGGGACCCAGAACGAAAAGCTGATCACCCTTTGAGGCCATGACAGAAAATGGACAAAACCAAAAGGTCAAAAGGTCGGCTTTGAACAACTAGCAATTGAATGGGCGCAGAATTAACTAGGTTCATCATCCGGCATCTTCCCTGGTCCCAAAACCCCTGATTTGCCTTTCTGAGGTTGCTTTGTAAAGGTGATCACCTCCCCTGGGGGAAGAATCAGCCTATTGCCTGACAGAATTGGCAACATCCATTAGACTGCCTCTTGGCCACACAAATGGTGTTTCTCCTCATTTCGCAGTCCCTTTCCATCATTGGCAACCTGTTGGCTTCCCTTAGAATACCAACTAAAAGAATGGCCGTTCTGAGAAACTCCCAAATGGATATGGGTCAACATTAAACCACTAGGGGACCACAGCTTTTAGTCCATGTTTTCATTTACCAGGGCTTGCCCCATTTTGGGGTTACCCTACTTTTGACCCACACCCAAAGGGTCTTCCCCAAAGTCCCCAAACCCGACGCGTGCCACGCACGGCCCACTTTTTCGCTGCAAACGGGGCGAGAGAATGCAGCAATCGCAACCGGTCGGCCTGGCAGGAGGCTGACCGCAAAAACAAAAGAAACAAAACTTCTCAGGTTGATGACTCACGAGGGGCCCTTGGTACTTCATGAGGGTGGCTGAAAAGGGGGGTAAAAAGGGGTACTTAGAGTACCTCCTTAGAAGGTACCAAGGGACCCTCTAGGTTTTGAAAATCACAGGAATCCTTACATTGTACACCTGATCATTGCCTTGTAAATGGTGGTTTGGCATGATTTTGGTGGAAAAAGCCATGGTTCAAATGGGCACACAAAAGTATCTTTTAAGGAGCCCTGCGGAACTTCTCAGGTGGATGACTCAGCAAATCACAACGCCACAAGCAAATGTAGAGTACGTTGCACAACTCATAATGCTGCTCGTTTCCGCTCGCTTCCCTAATTATACTTCCATAGCCGCATGTGCCCTTAGGTCAATCAGTAGCTTGGGGGCTGCTAACAGTCTTCAAGCCAACAAGACATAGGTGGCCTTGTGGAAAACTAGATGGCCCTGGTCAATGGAATAAACCATCTAAACCAGGGCCTTCTATTTTTTAAGCAAACCAACCAAAAAGGACACCTATGACCTATGGTCTTCAAGTCAACCTGTGGGATGGCCGGCCACCGTTTCAGCAGCTCCTAGCGTAGCACACCGTGCGCGCCGCGGTTTCTTTCTTTCTTGGCGCCCGCCACCTGCTTCACCGCATGTGCCACTGAATCACCCGCTCTTGCCTGACCCGGACCGCACGCAGACGATTTTCGCTATTTTCCCCCCCAAAAGGAAAACCAAATGGGCAAACAGCATCAAGACTTGAGGTTGGCCAAGTCTGGCAGTGAGCTCTGCCTAGTTCGCCGGGAAACCGCCACGAACAAAAAATCAAGAACACCCACAGCTTTCTTACAGGCGGACTCCTCAAGAAAAGACCTAACTCCCTGAACGGTCAAATCCAAATCCAAACTGTTTAGTCCCCACGAGAAAAAAACATAAAACAAATCTCACCCGGCGGAACCCACCAAAAAAGAAACACGAAGAACACCCACAGCTTTTAAAGGCAGACTCCTCAACATCCAAACTGTTGAGTTCCCACTAAGAACATAGTCCAGGGCTAAAAAGTGAGAACGTCCAGGAACAAAAGGTGCGGAATACAACTTGGCAAACTCAAAAATGGGTACACAGAAAACACGAGCGTTTCTGACTATGTTCCAGAGCTTGTCGACCTTAAACTAGCAATGTGTTCGACTCAAACTAAGGAAATCATCATTATCATGGGCGGTGTCCTTTGCCCCTTGGAAGCAACCAAGCAAAAATGCGCCCTCAAAAAAAAGACACCCGCACATATCTTGGCTGGAATTAGGACCCCAGCAAAAAACTATTTCATTTTTGCCTGATTAGTAGAAAACAAAGGGGGGCCCGAAAAAGCAAAAAACAACTATTTCTGGGAAGAAACATGACTGGCTGGTTCTCAGCAGGGAAAGAGGGACTGACCGCCTATATACCATGCCCCATGGCTTCCTTCAAGGGAATCCCGGGTCCGATCACCCGGACAGAGTCATTCCGTACTGAGCACCAACAACTTTCACTTGCTCAAGCTCCCTGGAACACAACAGCATATTTCCAGTGGTGATAGATTTCCTGTAAAACCAACAAGGGAAAATAACAAAACTATTAAGCAAATGAAAGCATTTCTGGTAAGATGGAGGATGGTGCGTTGAAATTTGGTTTATGTGGTTTCGGGTCAAATCCTAACTTAAAAAGCATATTCTTAAGAAAATGGAAGTTTATCAGCACTCTTTGCCATCATAGGTGTCCTTTTGGAAAAATACAGATGGGGTTCCCTGGTAAATGGATGGCATAACACCAATTTGGCCATGGGTCAACATCCCGTACCCCCAGTGAACATCCACATCCCCACTAAAATAGACTAAGATGGGTGGTGCACCTACCCCAAAATGGTACCATTGGTTTTGACCCCCACCAACTTACTTACCATCGCACATCCCAGTTGCAAGAGCATCGCTGCCATGGAGTTCCCCACCTGAGCGAAAAAGAAAACATGGAAGGCTGCCTGAGGCAAAGCGAGAAAAGTGATGTACCAAGCCCCGATATACAAAAAAAAAAACTGGAAGCAAGGAAAGCGAACAAGGTCTTGCTGATGTGGCTTCTGGAAAAACCCAGTTTTTGTGCTTTTTTTTGAGGCAAACATGTACTATAAAAAGATGAAACGATGCAACACAATAGTGTTAAAGAAGAAAACAAAAAGTGCTTGGGGCAAACATGTAAATCCATAAACCGATGCAAAGTAAGTCATAAAAAGGTGGGCTAAGTCTGGCAAGGCCGCCATTTGCCCGTGCAGCGTCACCTGCAGCATACCTGGAGGGGCCTCCTCACCAGGGTTTTCGCGGTGAACAAAACATCTTTGTTGACACCATTGGGTAAACCTGGCGGCTTCCCCTGTAATGTTAACCCCGGATTAATAAACCCCTGGTTGAGGTGTCAGGGGGGGTGTTCCCTTTTAGTGGGGATTCACACCCCCCTAATAATGGGACGAGTTTGTTAATCCTGGGTCAACATTACAGGGAGTTGTTTGAGGGAGTTGTTTGAGGGAGTTGTTTCCGAGCTGTCCGTTTTCAGATCCCCCGCTAAAAGTGGCTAACTTTTCGTGGGCATTTCGTGGAATAAACACTAAACAACTGCAAAGCTAAGGAGCCGGATGGCTGGGAGCCAAGGTTCGGTTTCACTCTACCGTTCGATCTTCAGGTTTGGTTTCCTTCTCTCAGCTTTTGTTTGATGTGCGAAAGGAACGCTTTCTCACTTCTGGGTTCGCGGATGGCAAACAGGTTCCCAAGAAATAAAAGGCCAACGATCCAACCCAAGATCATCTCACGTGCCCAAAGGACCCACAAATTAAAGGTTAACCATGTGGGGTCATGACTAAAGATGGCCGAGTAATGGAAACCAAAAGGTCAAAAGGTGGGATTTGACCAAGTGAGAATAGTATATAAGCAAACAACATAACTCCTTTCCATTGGTCTTTAAATGGGACGGAGATCTACCAGTTGAAGCTGAAAAAACAGTACGTTCTTCTTCGTAAGGATTTTTCCTTTGAAATGGGGGAAGAGCTAGGTGGGTCATATCCAAGTTGTTGCCCTCTCTCCTAGAAGTGCGGAAGCTGAAAGAAGGGTGAGGGGCCCTTTTCAAGAAGCAATCAGCTGAACAAATTTTGAAAGAAACAAAAGGAACATCGACCGACCCTTTCTCCCCCCAGACCCAAGCACCCCGCCAACGAATAATAAAAATAAACAAACAAAAAAACGAGCGCCATAGTTCCGAGCCCGGCCCAAAGCAACGCGGCGAGAGCTCCTCGCCCACATCTATTCTGGAGCCCGACCTTTGGGCCACCTCGCTCATGATGCCTCGGGGCACCAGGACCTGGTGCAACAAATCCTCGCGGGGCTCGAGCTCGCGAGTTACGTGAGTCACGCGAGTCACGCGAGTCACGCGAGTCACGCGAGTCACGCGGTCGGGTCTCCGCGAGTCGAGTCTCCGCGAGTCGAGTCAAAGGATGCGGACTTGCCGAAATTGCGAGTCGAGTCGAGTCCAGTGCCGTCTGTTTAGTGAAACCCCTGGTTGGTGGGTTGGGTAATTGGTTGGTTGGTTGGTTGGTTGGGTGGGTGGTTGGCTGGTTGGCTGGGTGGCTGGGTGGCTGCCTGGCTGGCTGGCTGGTTGAGCAGCAAGGAGAACCACAAGGTCTCCTCAAACATTAAGGTAAACCCATTTGTTTTGCAAGCCAAGGACCAAGCCAAAAACAACACACAACTAGGGAGATTTGACGTACATGGGGGGGGGGGGGCGATTGGAAGGTTCGCCTACTTGTAATACTTGGGGCATTTACTCGGATGTTCAACCCACTTAGGAAGTGGGCTTTCAACCCACTTAGGATGTAGCTTATAAACTTATAAGCTTGGTATGGTCACCAACCCCCGTTCTCTGTTATATGCATGATCATACCCCAATTACTAAGTTGGTTGAACATCCAAGTCGCACGTCATATTCTCAGATTTGGAAAAACAGTATTTGACACATTTGCTTATCCTCAACCCGGAAATGCCTGTACAAAACCAGATGAGCCCAAACCGATTTGGCTGTCTTGTGGACTGGTGATCTGTTAAACACTCAAAACACCCCCGCAGAGTCAAGTTGCAAACACCTACAACATGTCCCACCGTTCAATTAAACAAAATGTTAAAGAACTGTGTGAAAAAACGCCTCAGGTGCGAATCACCCTGTCGACGCTTCAAGTGGTCACCAAAAAGTAGCTTGAGACTCCCCCAGCTGCCAACCAAAAACAATTGCAAGCACTTTCATGGACTCGGCTCTGGCTGTCCTCAGATCCCCTGCAAAGTTCTAACTTTTAGTGGGTTCAACAGAAACACCACTGAACCCTAAACACCTTGAAACAAACAAAAGGGTGGCTGGGAACCACCAAGTCTTACTTCACCCAGAATGTCCTTGGGCAACAGGATGGTCAGCTCTGCCGAGTTGATACCTGACGCCTGCAGGGCCGAGAAGAAGGCCTTTTCGCTGCTGCCCATGTTGCCCATGTTGCCCATGTTGCCCATGCCGAGACCCATGGCACCTTGGACTTCGACATGGCACGAGGCGTTGTGGACGAAAGGAAACGGCAAGGGAAGGGATGCTCAGTTAAACAACCTTGCTTTTGACCAGAAAACCTGCTTAAAAGTCAAATGGGCAAAGAGGTTGTTTCAGGCTCGCAATGATACCTGGTCATGGTTGTAAACAACTCAAGTGCACTGGGGTCCTGTTGGGGAATCCTTCTCAACGTTTCAAAGCCTGGGCCCGGTTTGTCCAAAATTTGTGTCTGGCCTGCTTTTTGGACGAAAATCACCCTTTTCATGAACATACGCCCCTTTCCAAAACAGCGCACGTCTGTCGAAATGTTGTTTGCTCCACGCGATTCGCGATGCACCTCTGCTTTGCTTTGGACTACTGCCAGTTCTCTAGCATGGGATTAAACACGCCGCTGCGCTCTCACGCTGCTCCAACGAACCACGCGTCGAAAACATGTGGCCCACCAACATGCCCGAAATCCCGCTAAACGTCCGGATTTCCGCCGCTTGGGCCTGCAGATTCAACGGCCATTTCAACGCGACGTGCTATCCGGTTGTCTTCTCAGAGCGGGAAAGACTACAACAACTCATTTGGCAGATCTGTTTTTGACTGAATGTTGGACCGCAGGTGCTGCGTGTGTTGCTTGCTGATTGTTGCGGCCCTTGCGCTGCAGCGTGCGCCAGTCCAACACAACCACCGCGTAAAATGCAAGACTGCGCCCGTGCATTGGCATGCGCCCAACGAGTGTCACAGCTGAAAGGAAAACATACCAACAAGCCGCGCTGCAGCAGCGGTAGCAGCCAGCAAGCGGCAGCATAAGTTTGAACCACACGTCCAGATGCAACAAAGAAACAAGACTGCTGTTTGACCTGAAGCCATCCAAAGCGGCCAGGACTGCACCAATTAAAATCTCTATAAATGCGTCTATGTTGTTGCATGTGCACTTCACCCAAGCAGGCACCCAGAATGGTAAGCACTCACCCATGGGATCCTGAAAGCCAATTCCGAGGATTCAATTGCGGTCGTTTCCAAAAATCCTTCGAACAGCAGCCTGCTTTCAGAACCACTGACAGACGAAACAGTGCCGACAGGTCAGGATGAAAAACATTCCTGCCCCAGCGCGTTAGGGCCTTGTTTCAAACTCACCGGTTGAGAGCAAGAATGCTTAGACCGCAAACATGCCAAAAACATGCCAGGATGCGTACAAAGTACGCATTTCTGTATGCTAAAATATGCGATGTGTATCCGTCCCACGAAATCTGTACTTCACCTTGCGAAAGCACTGCGCCTGCCACAAAATCTCTACTCGGCCTTGCGAAAGTGCTGCGCAAACCACGAAATGACCTTGCGAAAGTGTTGCACCTGCCACGAAATCCTCACCTCAGGGCGCGAAAATCACGCGCCTGCCACGGCATCGACACGCAGCAGCTTGCGCGCCCAAACCGCGCGACTCAACTTCCCAAACTCGAGGCCCTTGGGATAGCCTGCCACGAAATCAACAGCTCAAGTTGCCAAGGTTCTGCGCCTGCCACGGGAGTTGCGCGTGCGATCCATACGCACGTGCAGGCCATTAGGCAGCCTTCGCCATCTCGCCAGCCTGCAATTCCTTCTTCTCTATCTCAGCCTTTGTATTTCTGCTTTCTTTTGCTTCACGAGTTTCGTATTGTAGAAGTTTCCATCTAAACTTTCTTTAATGCACCATCCCTTGCTGGTTCCTTTGTAAGGAATCGCAAAACGGTTCATTCCCAACACCCGGAAGGGTCATTTTCTATCGCAGTCCAAGAGGTCGAAGAATTGGTTCGATCACACCAAAGAGGGCGAAGCCACCACTCCAAGAGCAAAAAGGGCTGCCACTGTATAACTGGGCGTTTGCATGGCAGGATCGATCACTTGGCTGGGCAGCTCAATTGGAATCTTAGGAGCCTCGCTGTTTAGGATCCAACTCAAAAGGGGCGTCACGACAGGGCAACCTGAAACCCAAAAGTGCCATCACGGACTGACATGTCCCAACCGCCAGTACATCCACAAACAACTTCATTGTTTGCACCCTACTGAAATGAACTAAACCAACCAAAGAAATGAAGCTAGTACTAAAACTGGCACTGAAGTGAGCCCAGCTTGCTACCAGTGCATCCAAGATACCCATGACACCCATACCTCCTGCTGGGTTGCCCTGGCTATAGCCACCATTGACGCCATGGCCATTCAGTGCTGGCGCTGGCGCTAGCGCTGCGGCTGTGTGGGCGCTGGCGGTTGGGGGGCTGGGCTCCGGCCTGCGCTCGAAAGTTGGCTCCGGCCTGCGCTCAAAGGCGGGCTCTGGCTTGCGCTCAAAGGCAGGCTCTGGCTTGCGCTCAAAGGCGGGTTCTGGCCTGTGCTCGAAGGCGGGTTCTGGCTTGCGTTCAAAGGCGGGCTCCGGCTTGCGCTCGAAGGTTGGCTCCGGCTTGCGCTCGAAGGTTGGCTCCGGCCTGCGCTCGAAGGTTGGCTCCGGCTTGCGCTCGAAGGTTGGCTCCGGCCTGCGCTCCGAGGCGGGCTCTGGCCTGCGCGGGTAGGAGATTCAAACCAGAGTTGGAACATGTTGGAAAATGTTTGAACCAACATTGTTGAAACAGCCTTTGGTTGCCTTGTTGGAAACACAACAATTTGCGCAAACAGCTTCTTTGGTTTTTTTCCCTATTCCTCGGACTCTTCCCAAACCCCATCCAACCCCAAAGTCCTCCCGTCCCCACCCAAGGCGGTCAGATCCTTCGGCTGGTGCTGGCTGGCGGCTCGCTGTGGCCATCTTCTTTCGACCCATGTCGCTTGCCATTGCTTTCGCCCCAAACCCCAGCACCTCTATAGTTCCTGGTGGCTAGCAACCAGTCCCAGCCCAGTCCCGTCGCTCCACTGCGCTTGCCTCGGTCCGGCCTTGTAGCTCTCTATTTCCACCCCCCAAACCCGGTCCCTTGCCTCAAACTATGGCTCTCGTTCTAGCCTCGAAACCATGTGGAAACGCACATACATGCACCTATCACATATCTTAGAAACCAGCCCACGCATTGCGGTGCTCACCCACTCAAAAAGACCAAACACTTCAAGGCAAACCAAAACACAGTACCTCAAAGCAAACCAAAAGAATATTCTGGCCGAGGCGGGCAACGCGAAGCGCTTGCAATCAAACTCGATGGAGCTTCGTCCCAGGTTGTGAAACACGCTTGAGCCAACGTTGTATTCACTTTACCAACATGGGATAAGGTGGTTTTGGGGGCTATTCCCCACATAAACCACCATTTGAGGTGAATTCGGTCGTGCGAGGTCCTTAGAATTCACCCAGATGAACCTTTCAGCTCTCGCCGGACTTCTGGGGCCCTTGCGCTCGAGGTCCGGCTCGCGCCTTCGGGAGAGGAAGTCGCTGCCGCCGTTGCTCTCAGCCCGGAAGAGGAAGTCCCGGTCATGCAGCTTGCCCCGGTCCGCCATGTCCTCCAAATGGCGAGTGAGGCAAGCGCAAAATTCCAGCTCACAACTTCGGCAAGAGGAGCACCTTTTATGTTTTCAAATCTAGAGCAAGTCACAATCGCGTAACTGGCTCCTGGACATGGCTAAGGGATCAAGTACCCTTTGATCGAAGGAATTTCTTGCATGGGGACCACCCGAAACCGATGCCCAGCCCAGTGACTCCACTGGAAGACTCAGTTGCTTCCGGATGTCCTGCAGCACGCTGTTGATGCCAGAGACTGCCAAAACCACCTGACAAAAATGTCCCATCAATGTGGGAAAGGGCCCCTCAAACTGGAGGAGTGGCTGGACAAACCCTTAACCATGAGGGCCTCTCTCGGTTTTATTGGGGGGGGGTCTCAATAGAACATCGGTTTCACTTGACTTGCCACAGAAAGCCCCAAACTGCATACATCGTGGCGATGGCTCCATTTTAGTAAGCGACATCCTCGAAACGACCCAAGTAAGCCGCCGATTGTCTGCCATTGCGCTAGGGCAACCCTTGGTAGGCAAAAGGAACCGTTCCGCTGGAGTGGATCCGGAAAGAGTAACCTGTTGGTTTTAGCCAAAATGGTCCCAAGAAGAAAGTCCAGGTCAGCAACTCAAGGAGTGAGTCAAACCTAAGGCAAAGAGTTCAGCAAAGCCAAGTCTGGCAATGGGACAATGAATATGCAATGGATGTACATGTTTCTTGGCCAGACGGTGGACAACGAAGGACAACCAACGCAACAGCAAATGCAAAAGGGACGGTTCAGATCAAGTCCCAGGGAAGTTGCCAAACTGTTAACACAAAAAAATGCAAAAGGGATAGTTCAATCTTTAAGCTGTTTGATTGGCTCCTTTAAAGTCCAGAAGCTCAGGGAGGCAAGTCTTGTGGCGATTGAGGACCTTGTTTGAGCACCCGGTTCGTTCCCACCCCACACAACCTATTTAGCTGTGGGTCAAAACCCCTCGAAACCCCTGGTGAACATCAAAAAACAGGTGGCAAATGGATGTTCATCCACCCCAAAATGGAGCCATAGGTTATGCCCCATGGAAATTGTTTACTTCTTTCTCTTAGCACACAACCCGTTGCTTTGGTTCGAAAAGGCTGCAAACCTTCTTCGTCACTTGGGCTTCGCAATCCCCATACCAATTTGGAGGTTGTGTCAGGAGGACACAAGAATCCCTACAAGAAAGGAATTGTGCCAGCTATCTCTACGCTGGCGTATTTCTATCCTGGCGTAGATAAGTCTGCCTCTAAGCTAAGCTTTGTCTATTTCCTGCCTATTTGTCTTTACTAACAGACTATAAACGCCATAAACCAATCTGAACAATCCCTAGGAGCCCAAAACCGCAAATTATTTGAGGCCTCTTTTGTCATCTCTACTCTTGGTATGGTAGCAAAAAACTTTGCTTTTTGCAGACCCCCAGTAAAAATGAACAGAACCAAAAAACTAAAAAAACAAAAACAACAAAAAAAACATGCCGAGAACAGTGAAGTTGTGCAAGGCCCTCTTTTGTTGTCCTGGGCTCCTAGGGTACTGGTGGCACCTGCTCCACCGTGCCATTGATGCTGATGGGCTGGTCCGGCATGCCCAAGATCGCCTCGGGGAACTGCCGCTCTCGCTCCCCCGCACATGAACATGGAACAAGCTTGGTTTCTGCAACGCCCCCCCCCGGCAACAAGTTGTTCACTTTTTGGGAGGTTGACGAAAAAACTGCTGAAATTTCGAGAAAACAAGTTAAAGTCTAAAGATCCGTCACCCAATAGCAGTCAAGGAAACAAGTGTCCCCCGAGCGATGTGTATAATTCACAGGCCCAAAATCTACATGGTTGTCACAATCAAAACCCGGTGCTAAAATGGTCTACCCAGAACCATGTAAGGAATTAAGAAGGTGGCCGCAGATGTTTATGGCTGGGATTGTCCCTTACCAACCTTCATCTACCCGGGTTTTGATCGTGGCTCATGTAAGCAACCAAGTCAACCGTCAACCACTCGTCAACTAGAAGGAAACTGGCGACCTAATCTGGGCACTGGGGGGTTCATTGAGGTTTTTAATTGCTTGGATTTTTTATGAATCAAGGAATCGAATCGGCAGTGTCATTGGAATTCCTCCTGTACCCCACCCTAAAGCTCACAATTCAAACTATGGACGGTGAGGGATGGCCATTGTAGGACCTGCTCAAGACCAACCCAAGGTCACCAGTTGAAAACAAAAACTGGGAACCCTTGGTGAACATCACTCACGTAGGGTGTCCCATCTGAATCTGACCTTGATCGTGAGCAACGCCTTTTGGCCAAAGTTCACACATTCTCCCTCAATCAACAGAAGCAAAAGGGGGCTCCCTCTACCCACGATGGTTGCTGGGGTGTGTGCCGGCTGAGCCCAGATCTCTAGCCTTGGGAGAAAGAACCGGCACCCGTTTCTGGTCGTTGATTTTAAAGGGGAAGCCACATCTGAAAGATGAAAGCAACCCACTGAAGGCTGATCTGACTGGTTTTTGTAAAGGGAAGCAACCCACCGACTGGGTTGCCAAGATGGAATCGACCCACTGTACTCCTTTAAAAATGTTCCGGCCGTCAGGCTCGTGCATGCTGAAAGGAAAGCCCGATTGGATCCCAAAACACAAATCAAGGATGCAACCAAAAGCAAACCGGCATGTCGCAAATTTCATTTGTGGCTTCCATTTAAACGCATTTCCGACAAGGGTACCGATTCCAAACATTTCTGTGCTCAGGACCTTCCTCTCAAAACAATATTTCTTTAGGGTTCATTCCCCAGAAAAAGGGCACAACTCCTTGAAACACCATGGCTCTTGGAACCCCGAAGGATATGCGTGCCTCCATCCGTTTTATCTGCAGACTACGTGAGGAGGCAGTCTACTTAAGTGGTGAGTAACCCTGAGTCTCGCCAACTTACTTACTGTTACGCAGTGGATCCCAGGCAAACCCAGAAAAAGTAGGTAACCAGCTATTTGTCCTTCTGGTTTTTAAAGGGTGGCAAGCCCTTGGTTCCCTACAAAACCAGGCAAATGGATCCACTGATTTCCAGAAGTCGCCTTTCAGTCGGCGTTTATTTGCCCAGGGTTATAACCCGGCTAGGAGACTTATAACCATGGCTTTTGTGGTTTGTCTCGCCATGGTTACTAACCACTTGCTAAGTGCCCTGCCCCTTCAAGTAACAACCTTAAAATCCACCCTTGCCAGCTGCCGCAGTTGAATCCTTGCGACATTGGGATTCCAATCCCTCTGGATGCAATCCCAAAAATCTACTTCGCTGCGATCGGTGAACGTTTGTGAACACTGTTTCTCTGATGCCCAGTGGATTTCCGTGGGAAAAAAAGGATCGGCATCCTTTTTTGGGTTGGTTGACTTTGAAGCAATCGGAACCCTCCCCCCAAAAAAGTTGAAAAAGGGAAACAACCCACTGGTTGCAACTGGAACTTTGAACTGGCCAACAGGCGCCTGGCATAGAAGTTCTGGCGATTCGCTACCTCAGGTAAGTGGCTAGTAGAAGTGAAATAACCCACTGAACGGAGACTAACCCATGGCGAGTTATAACCCACTCAACGTAGACTTGTAACCATGGGGTCTTTTGTGGGTCATAACTCACCATGGTTTCTCACTAGCCACTTGCCTGACGTACCCTTCATCGATCGCCCCTTTCAGTATGACTACCTTGTGACTTGGGGAGAAAACAAAATGCCGGGGAGGACATCATGGAGGTTGGGCTTCGTGCCCCACCAGCCATTTGAAAAGGGAGTTTCCGCACTAGAAAAGCCAGAAAGTGGCAGTCAACCATAGGCTTCCCCAAGGCAAAACCCGAACCAATCATGGCAAAACAGGCGGGGCTTAGGGGTTTCTAAGAGACGGTGGATGCATCTCTTTGAAGATCCTTGTTTTCTTTTTCTTTTTGACTTGCGACATATTTGTGCGGATTTCCATGGTACCCGTTTTCAACTTAGTCCATGTTCAATGGAAACCAAAGAAGAGGCCAACCATTTTGCCGGTCCTATGTTGAGCTGCCACAGGGCATCGCCCCAGGAAACATCCATCCGACGGCCGGAAACAAGAATCGGGGGACCTCTCGGCCAACATTGATCTCCGCGCCCGACTGCTCCATGATGGACTTGATCTGTGCGCCCTTGGTGCCTCGAACGAAAATCTACTTGTCGGTGGTGGTGTGTAGTTGTGAGTGATGGGGGTTCGCTCGAGAACCATGTACGTTCGTTTGAGCCACTGACATCACGTTTTGATGAGTAAACCCCCAGCTTTCAAATTATATGACCAAAGCCGTATTTCAGGCCTTATTGTAGCAGGCAACCAGGGAGAGCGGGGTAGAGACTGGGGGCTGGCAGGTGGATCCCTGGTTGATTTGAAACCGACATGAGCAAACACCCAACCCATTTTGGATGTTCCACTATGTTCTCCGACTTGGAGACAATTCCAAACATATTATGCACAAGATGGCCAAACATCCATGTGCCTTTCCGTTTGCCTGAAGGTGCCGCCACAAATCATGCTCAAACTCCGTGTGTCTCTCTTTAAAGTGCCACAAACACAGCATGTTCGAGCACTGTGCGTTTCCGCCTCAACTTTAAAGTTAAGCGCGGCGTGATAGTGTTAATAGGAAAACACCAGGGAAACAACACACAAACAAAACCACACAACACCAGTGACACACAACAAATAGATCACCAAGACCCACAACCAACCCACCTGCTGGTTGAGTTGAACCACTCCAATCCATTGCGTGTAGCCTTGTCTGGTGCAAACATAGACAGCTCGGTCTTCTGTCCCCTCTGGTTTTATGTATGATGGGTGTGTCGTTCTTAGAGTTGGTACCCGATTCCTAAAGAACGACACACCTCTCCTCTAGCTCTGCGCCCAATGGAGAAGGGACAGTGCAAGAAGGCGCGCTTGGAACCCCTCTTCGAACGGAAAACGACCCTAACTCAATTCCAGTGGATCGGTGTGGAGTGAGGACAGTCTATAGAACCAGGCAAGGCAAAGATGGTTAGCCCAAAACCTGCAAAAAGTTTCAATCCGAACCCTTCCATGATTGACTAATGTTCTTACTCGCCTGAAATTAGCGTGGGAGTTGGAACGCGGAAAAAAAAAAAAAAAAAAAAAACAAAAACAAAACAAGATATCCCCAACAACACTTCTGGAACTCTGAAAGCTCCCCAAACCACCCTTGTCGCCTTTCTGGGCAGAGCCCTACAGCTCCATTTTTGGAGGCATCTCTTTTGGGTACCCCCTTCTTGGGTTACGTGCTGAAGTTGACCCCCTGGACTAATTACCCCCCCCTAGTGAAAAGGGAACCCCCCTTAACAAGCAGTTGAGTTTTTTAGGGGTCAGGAGTCTACGTGCTCAGGAGTGTTTTTCAAAGGGTTACCTCTTCGGGGTGGTTTGAAGGGAAAAACCACAGGGAAGTCATCATTGTAAGGGCTCCCTAATTTCACATACCCTTCCACTTGCTTAATCCCCTGACAAACACAAAAACAATGTGCAGTAGTATCTCTCTCCCTCCCGCAAACCAACAGGGGAAAACAAGCTGTGGGAGAAGACGAAATCCTGCAACACTTTGAAACCATGGAAACCATTGATTCGTTACTATTACTGGGAATCATAATTTCCATTCCTGCATGGTGATTTCGTCCACATACTGTGTTCTTGTGCAATTTTGGAAGTTTACCCAAAACAATCGCTCAAGGGGAATCTCTCGGTCAGAGGTGCCAATCACCACTGGTACGGAGATCTGAGGGATGATGATCACAAAGACCCCCGGCTCCATGTCTGTCACCCCCTGCCAAATCGAGATGGATCTATCGCGGCACTTTTTGACATGGGTTTACCGTGATTCTGACAAGGAAACCATCTTAACAAGACAACCCCTGATTCACTGTAACTTGAGGCTCAGTGTGATTGTTTACCTTGCAATATCGAAGCCACCTGTGATAGCGACTGGGGCTTGGAACCAACCAGGTTTCTTTCTATATAGTTTTTAAGGGTGGACACCCCTTGCATAGAAAGGAACATGGAATCACTGGGCTGGAATCACAGTACTGGTCATTTGAAAAAACACACTTGTTCCAGTAATAAAAGCGACGAAAGACCTTCCGGTGGACCCATTTCTTTTGCTGTTGACCAGTTTAAGTGGGGAAACCTCTTGACTGCCTCTCCTTGGCATGGGAAGCGGGTCACCCGCAAATCCCCACGAAGAAAAAGCCGGCCAAACCCTCTGTGTTTTCCCACAAATCAAACAAACTAAGGGTTGCCTCAACAGTTTAATATCTGGCTGATGGGCATTGCCGCAGCAGAAAGCCCCCACGCACAAGACTCCAAAGGAATAACCCTTCTTGAAGGGGATGTAATTTCCACGGCGACCTCGAGGGAGAATCTCGGGTTCGGTCTTCAACCCCTCTGATTCGGGGGCGCTACCCGTCTCATGTGCCCACCCAAAGCCCGACTCGTGATTGGAGTAAGGCCTGGGCAGTATGCAAGAATTGATTTGTGATCTGCATTGCAAAAGGCATGGGGTGACTCACACAAAACAGATTTATAGCGTTCAGTGGCCGTGGTACTGTGGGACGGTTGCGAAATCCATTCGCAACACCTACAATACCCTGAATGATACGATTCCCCCCCACTTAAATACCAACAAACCATGGTTTCCACACTGTTTCAAAGTGGTGCGACCAGATTTCACCATCCCCAGAAAAGAAGGGTGGTTGTACATGTTGACTGAGTGAAACGCCAACAGATAGGGTAAGCGCTGCAAAGAAAAAAAGAACTAGATTCTCATCACCCTTAAAAATGGGGTTCCATTGCCTAAATGTTTGGGGTTATGGACCTATTTTTTAAAGGGTCATGAAGACGCCAGGAATACAGCTGCTTTCAGCCAATGAGGTAACCCAGGTAAGCAGTGCCATGTGGATGTCTTTCAAGGAGATCCCGAAATCCCCCTGGAAATACTCGGCGTCAAGCAGAGCCACCGCTTATGATTGAGGCCCACGTCACCTTCGCATGGCTCCCCCTGATCAGCTCTCAATCTTACTTGGATATAACTCCCTCCGAAACAACTATAAACCCGGGAAAAGGGGTCAAACGCAGATTGCTTCAACCATGTTTCTTTTGGGGGGAACCCAGGTCAATCTGCAGTGTACCAAACTGTTGCACTCTTCTTAGCAAATTCATGCACCACCCCTAAGATTCCATTGCTTTTTCCTTTTCACCTTTCCAAGACAAGCACAGCTGCGCCCAAGTGTGTGCTAAAACCCACGATGAAAAACATATTCATTTTGGCTTAGATGGAAGTAAAGACTCCTCTTGCTTGGTACCATTCCAAGGAGGTACTGAACGAACCCTTTTTACCCCCCGTTTTAAGTTAAAGACCATCCTCATGAAGTAACCAAGCACCCCTCTGGGTAGATGGTCAAGGGTCAAAATCCCCAAAACCCCATTAAACATCCCATCCCCAATAAAACAGAAGTTTCTAAAATTGGTGGTGCATTCACCTACCCCCAAAATGGATCCCAAAACGGTTTTTTGACCCACGGCCCAGATGGAAGTAACATTTCGGCAGATGGAAGTAAGGACTCCTCCCAAAGGGTCCAAGGTTCCTTCTAAGCAATACTGAACGACCCCCTTTTTCCCCCCTTTTAAGCCGATCCCTCATGAGGTATCCCAACCCCCACCCAACCCCACCCAACCCCCACAAAATGGAAGTGAAAACCTAAGGAAGGGTCCGCGTTCGCGCCGAAGCCATGCGCCTGCATCTGCCTCAGCTTCCGTACCACCTCCCGGCAGGCGCCATCTTTCGCCTTTCAGGTGGCCCACGTGGCAGGGTTTGGGGGTCCGGGCTGGGTGAGGCTCACGTAAACGGTTACCTCTTCTACCCAGAAAAGTCCAAGTACCTTCTAAGCAGGTTGGAGAGGTGTATCTAGAGTCTCCTTCCGATCCGTTAAAAATGGTTGGTCATTACCCTAAATCATGGGGTCACGGACCTATTTTTACAGGGTCATGGAGACAGATGCCCAGTGGATTTCCTTGGGGAAAAAAAGGGCAGCCGTTTTTTGGTTGGTTGAACCCTCCTGCCCCCCCCAAAAAAAAAGAAGAAGGAAAAAAGGGCAGCACTGGGCGACTGGGCTAAAATGGGTCACCCTCCCACCCGTTTCACATGGAACCTGACGTTCCAGACTCGGTCCTTTGAAAGGATCATGGTACAAACCACCCCCGGAACGTCAGGTTCCATGTTAAAAGGGTGGAGGGTAACTCCGAACCTCCAAACCACTCAATTTGGAGGGACACCGACTCAACCTGCTACAACCAAAACACCAATCACAAAAGGCCATGCAACGAGCAGTGCTCTCGGGGGGCGAAGCAGCGAGTGGAAAGGTGGTTCCCACGCCTGTTGACGTTCTTTTGCGGACATTGACAAATATCAACTTCCCACTAATCCGGTTGTTTGGATTGGTGGTTTGGTGGTTACGGGCCAGTTACGGGGAGCTTTCCCATTTACACCGTACGAGAACCAGGGGTTCCAATCAATGACGGGGAAGCTGAAAATACGGGCTGACTGAGCGCCGGAGGCACCAAGTATCGCAGGGTGGGTTGTTAGGGATTGTATCGCGAGTCGATGCATCAGGAAAAAATAGCTTTTGCGGAAAAAGGCACACCGGTCAAAGGGAAACTCTTCCGTCACCAAACAGTTGGAAAACAACACAAACAGGGAGCACTTCTTGGCTGCAACTGGGACTGGACTGCTTGTATCCCCTACTCCACATACCTCTTTTTCTATTGTATTTGTTGGAAAACCCGTTTTTTTCAAGGTAAATACCTCCTTTTTTAGGAGAGGCTCGACTTCTGACACCCTAAAAAAACTTCAGGCCGGGTATTTCAGGAGATCGGGGGTAAGCTTCCATACGTGCTCCCAACCTCCCAACCTCCCAAGGCTGAGGTCTAGGGAATGAATCGGTTCTGGGACTTTGCTGGCGCGGAGGAACCCGTCCTTCGGCCCCGAAAGCTGCATCGAAAGTTCCCCAAGGGAGCCCCAGGAACCCAAGCCGAGACAGCAGGACGTCTTCCCAGCCCTTTGGGCAACTCGAAAAATCAGAGGTCCTCAGCTTTTCGGACCTAAACATGGTGGGTTTTCCGATCTTGGGGAACACCTCTTAGGTCCTCCAGATGTGAGAGGGTCGAATAAGTTGCGACCTGTCTATTGTAGAGGGGTACCCTCCACCAGAAAAAAGGTGCGAAAGGGCACTACCGGGGGACCTAGAGGTCGATTCGGCTTGTGCGACCGAGCTGAAAGACTTCAAGAAGTCCGTTGGGAGGCCGAGGCTCTGAACCCACGGGTCACCGGATTTCCCCTTGAAAAGTGTCCCTCGATTTACTGGTGTCCATTGAAACGACTTTTCAGTGTTGGAGCTTCCCCCCAAAAAAAATGCCACTCGGTATAGTAGGGAGTCCCAAAGGGTGTCACAGAGAAAGTGGCCCTAAACACCCACACACACGCCTGCGTGTGTCTTTCTTTCTTTTTTTGGGGGGGGGTGTCCCCCTTTTTGGGGCTGGTTCAAAAGTGAATCAAAAGGACCACCGTCATGTTGAGTCACCCAAAAGAATATGACACAACATCACCTGTAGACCAACAAGTGCAGCCCTTCCTACTTACCATGTGAGAAAAAGGGCAAACATGCAAGTCTACGGGCCTTGCTTGAATAGAATGGGTCAGGACATTCAAAAACACGTTGACTTCACAGACCCACTTTTGTCTAGGGTATTTGTTGGAAAACTTGGTCTCTCAAGGTAAATACCTCCTTTTTTAGTAGAGGCTCGACTTCTGATACCCCCCCCAAAAAAAAGGCCGGGCATTTAAGGAGATCGGGGGTACGCAGTCCATGGCCCTCGTTTTCAATTCCCCGGGAGCTGAGCCCGTCGTCCACCGAGGCGCCCGTTGGGACCCCGCCAGGGTCACGATCTTGTCCGCCCAGCGTGGCCGGCGCTTCCCCGGGCTTGGAGATGGACACGCTGGCGCCGCTCTGGTCGCACCTCGCGAGGAGCTTGGGAAGGGGGTTGCTGGGCTGGAGCTTGGGGATGGCTTTTTGGGGGGGGCGAGGTCAATGCATGTTTGTTTGGGGTTCAGGTGGTTTTCCCTTTTTGGGCGGCTGGTGGTTTGGAGCCCGGGGATGGCTGCCCATTCACCCTCAAGAAGCCGGGGTGCAGCTTTTCAATCCAAAAAACACACCTGACATGCTACCAAAGTCGGCCCCTTGGTGGTAGCTTAGTAGCCCCCTCGCAGAAACGCTCGGCAGAATGAACCCAATTCCAGCAACCATGCAAGCGGACACAACCATTGTTCGACAGGATGGCAGTCTTTCAATATCTTCCTGTCCGCTTCTGCGATTGTTGGAACGAGGATAGAGCAAGCGGAGAAGCAGGCCAACAACGCTATTCGCTTTGGAGCATGCCGTGCCATTTTCTGCCACCTCGCGAGCCATGAAGAAAGAGTTAAGTTCGTGTCCCAGAGGAAGCTGTCGATTCCTTTTGCCCCTTCGGTTGGCTTGCCACTGTCCAGAATTAGAGAAATCACCCGCCACAGATCCGAAAACGCATCTCCCGAACAGTTGCTTGGATCCGGCCTTTTGCACTGGAATCCAAGCCACAAACAAAATGACCAACCAGACCTACTGTGGATGGACGAAATCCTGCACCACCTAAGAAACCCTGAATGCTGCTTCCCTTAAAAACCAACAAGCAATGATTTCTCCGGGTTTCCAAGTGGTGCAGGATTTCGTCCATCCACAGTATCACCAAAACCTCAGTTGCTACCCCCAAATTTCACGGCAAGACCGTCACACCATGTTGTGGCGGTTCAGGGCACATCTGCCGAATGGTGGCGCCCCCCTTTCCGATGATGAAGGACACCGAATCCTCCGGAACCAAACATCGGTATGGCACTTCCATGGCTCGATGGTCGGAAAAACACGACTCCAGCGGTCCACAGGTCACCTCCCGATGAACACCCAGCCACTTTGCGCATTCCAAATGCCTTGCTGGCGGCTGGTGTCTTTGCATTTCACGCCCTCTCGTGTCCGTTTCCTCTCGAAAGAGATCTCTTGAGCCAAAACGCCTCTCGCACGGAAAACACGTGAGCGCCCAACCCACGTCGACCGGTGGTTCTGAGATGATTACAAAGTCTTGTTCTTACAAAGGCCTATACATGCCCCCCAATAAACCGAGTAGAACCACCTAAGATGGCTACCTACTAGGCCTTTTTGTGCGCTGTGTTTAGACTGGTCCATGAGCGTCTGGCATGGGGCAATTGGAATCTGGAAGGCTCCAACTCATCAGCCTGGAGGCTTTTCGCAAGAGGTCTGAGGGCGGGTCCAGTGCTTCCAGTTACTTCCATTTGAGCCACTTGCTCAAGACCCGGGTAGATGCGGGATTGTAAGGGACAATACCAGCCACAAATGGGTGCGGCCGCCTTATTGCTTCTGCACATGGTTTGGGGTAGACCATTTTAACTACCAGGTTTTGATTATGAGACTCATTGTGTGTTTTTTGAGGATTCCCAGTTCGCCTTGGTTTGAAGAGAAGCTAAGGGGCGAAACGACTTCTTGGGGTCCAATTCTTTAGTCTAACACAAACCCATGTATGTCAAGTTGACATAAGTATATACAAATATCTCTAATAGGGGTGGTCCCCCCTCCGGGAGGGGGGGGGGGGATACCATGAAGGGGGTTTTGGGGTAGGGCTAAGGAAGGGATCAAGTAGGTATCAAAAAACTGTGTTTTTTGCAGACCCCCAGTAAAATTGCCAAGAACAGATATATCCCAACATTTTCCTTAAAAAGCAAAAAAAACGCGCATTGTTGGAAAACACGCTCATTTACCCAAAAAACACACATTTCGGTTCGACCAGCCATGTTCAAAACAAGTTGGTTTTGGGCTTTCCGCCGATTTCCGCGCATTTTCCGCCGATTTCCGCGCATTTTCCGCCGATTTCCGCGCATTTTCCGCCGATTTCCGCGCATTTCTGGTGGCCAAATTTGCAGGATTTGCCACAAAATGGGTGCGGAACATGAAATTTGCAGTTTCCGCGTAGATTTCGGAAATTCCGCTCAATTGGCAAAATGAGCAAAAATAACGTAATGAGCAAAAAAATGTTCCTTTTTGAGGGTCCAGGTATATATAATATGGTCCCGTGTTCCGTGTTGCCAACCCCCCCCCCGGTATGGGTTTCCCAGGACCCCCCCCCCCCAGACCCCGAGCCCCCGGATCCTACGGTCCCACCGCCACCGTGACCCCCTGAACTCGCACCCCGACACCCCGGCACCCCCACCCCCAGGACAAGCCAACCCGCAACCAACCATAAACCAACCCTAAACTAACCCTAAACCAACCCTAAGCTAACCCCAAATACACCCTAAACCAATCCCTAAACAATAAACCCCGAAACCCAAACCAACCCTAAGCCAACCCTAAACCAACCCTAAACCAACCCTAAATTACACCCTAAACCAAACCCTAAACCGTACACCTCTAAATTAAACCTAAACCAACCCTAAACCAACCCTAAACCAACCCTAAACTAACCCTAAATACACAGTAAATATACCCTAAACCAATTCTAAACCAACCCTAAACCACCACAACCCAACCACAGGACCACAACCACAGGGTGGGGGGGGGTTACTTGTCTGACCCATGACCATCCGGCGGGGGGGGGGGGGACTGGCAACGCTGAACCATATATACACATATGTATATGTGTTTGCATGTATGTATGCATGGTTGCATGCATGCATGTATGCAATGTAATGCAATGTAACGTAACGTAATGTATGTATGTCTCTCTGTGTGTGTGTGTGTATGTTCGTATGTGTGTAATGTAATGTAATGTCATGTATTGTAATGTAGTGTAGTGTAGTGTAACATAACATAATGTATGTGTGTCTCTCTGTTTGTGTGTATGTTCGTATGTGTGTAATGTAATGTAATGTAATGTAATGCAATGCAATGCAATGCAATGTAATGTAATGCAACGTAGTAATGTAATGTAATGTAATGTAATGTAATGTAATGTAATGTAATGTAATGTAATGTAATGTAATGTAATGTCATGTATTGTAATGTAGTGTAATGCAACGTAACGTAACATAATGTACGTATCTCTGTGTGTGTGAATGTTTGCGTGTAATGCAATGTAATGTCATATAGTGTAATGTAGTGTAATGTAACGTAATGAATTGTATGTTTGTTTGTATGTGTGTATGGAATGTAATGCAATGTAGTGTAACATAATGTAATGCGTAGTATGTAATGCAATGCAATGTAATGTAGTGTAGTGTAGAGTAGTGTAATGAAATGTGATGTACTGCAACGCACTGCAAGCAGTGCAATGTATGTACTGGAATATAAATGATTGTAACACACTGTAAGATATTGTATGTATCTCTTCAGGCATGCTGATATGTGTATACATACAATTGGCGATTTTGGAGCCCTTGTTCACTTAAAGGCGGCACAACGTAGCTGTCGTCGTTCCAAAGGGGCCCTTTCGGCCTTCCATCAAACCGGGCGCAAAGGTTGGACGCCCGACGGGCCGACTTGAGCCGAGAAGGTGACATACTGAGCACCGGCTGCAGCCTGCAATGGGTATGGACCGCAGGTTGTGGTCCATGCTTCCATTTACCAGAGTCTTCCATTTACCAGAGTTCTATTTTGGGCACCCGTTTTTGACCCACACCCAAATAAGGAACCTTTATAAGGGAGCTTGATGATGGGTGAGCTCGTTTTCTTCCAGACAAGCTTGCAAAGAATTTGCGCAAATACATGCACCTGTCTCCCAACGATACGGTGAATGTCCTAAACGTTGCAACCGGACCAGCCACGAAGCCAGGTAATTTGCAAGCATGTCCATCATTTCCAGCTTATCTTGCTTGGGGCCTCTGCTGTATATAGCCTACTGTTCGAAAGGCTAAGAACTTTGTACAAACCACCAAGCTGCGAAGCTGTCAATGCACAGATCACTTTGCAGATGTGTAGCCCAGATTACTCTTCAGTTTGTGGACACGGTCACAAGGCACCAACAGCCTCTTGACATTGTCACCCGCAAGTGTCACCCTCATGAAGCACTGTGATTGCTAATAAAGAATCATATATCAATTTTCAAACTGCATGTATGAGACAGGATTGTAACCACGCCAAGAGGCGAATTCGGTTCAGTGCACTAAGTTCATCGGTCGCCAAGCGCAAGAATCCGTCACTGATGTTCCATGCCGGCGCTTTGAAGCTGCGAAGCCCCCTTGCGGCGTGGTTTGGTGCAAGAGCATCCAACCAGGGCGCAAGAAGTCTTGGTTGCTGCTGTTGACCCCCCTGCAAACAGTTGTTCTCACTGTTTGGGGGGTTTAGTGGAAAACCCAACTTGATTTCAACCAAAAAGTTAAGGTCTAAGGGTCCGTTTCCCAGCAGTCAAGAAGTCAACTAACTCCTGAAGGCCCCAAACGAGGGTGGGGGTCAAAAATGGGGTAACCCCAATATAGAACCCTAGTAAATGGAAACATGGACGATTTAACCTGCGGTTCAATTCCTGGTGGTTCAATTTGAACCCATACCCCATAAATATAGAGACATGCACTATCTATAGGGTATATACTCCACTTTGCCCCTCAGTTCCCTTTGTGGTTTTAACTGGCGATCCTACTGAACTGTGAAACTCCAACATGGAATCTAGCTGGTTGAACATGATTCTGGACCCTCTCTGAAGCATGGTTGTGGAAAAGTACCCTTTCTTTCATAGCAAAGAGCGCCGTTCCCATGACGTCTTTATCACTTTAAGGTGGATTTAGCCAGGTATCACAGAAACTCGCCCTCAACATCTGGTCCTGAATCCGGGTTGCTCTTCTCTGAGAAAGCAGGCGGGTATTGAAAAACAGGGCCTAAATCGTCTGAATGGGGGTGGGTCCTTTTAATCCAACGAAACCCATTCGCGGCAATTTGAAGCCCTGGTTGAAACCATGGTTTGTTGGTATTTACAGGGGAATCAACTCATGGCGTTGGGTTTCTTTAGGTGGTGCGTTGCATGGATTTCGCAAACCATCCAGAGCATCCTAGCAAAAGGATGGAATTTGCCCCTTGCCCGCCCGTGTCGCATTTTTTTGTGCTGGCACTTCTCTCACTCCGGCCGAAGGCCTGGTCTTTGCGCCAGAGCCCCAAAGAACAGCGGGTCGGTGAGAACCAAAGGAAAGGCACTTCCACATTTGCTGACTAGGTCCGAGTAGAGAGGTTACCCTTTTTTCTGTATTCTATTTTAGAAAAAGGGCACTACCGAGGGACCTAGCTGATTCTGTCCCTCAGATTCTTGCAAAAAGTGTCTATCTCGTGGGTTAAATGGAAACCCACACTGGATCCTAAAAGCCTAAACACCCTTCTGGCTGGGAAGCACCATTGAATGGGTCACAAGCGTCCGGCCTTGTGGCTCCTCACTAGCTCAGTGAAATGGAGGAACAGCCTACTGTGGATGGTTGCAATCGAAATCCATGCAACGCACCACAAACTGAATCCATGGGGAGCCATCACGTTCGTTGGTATTTACGTTGGGGAAGCGAATCATTCTAGGGTTTCTTGGGTGGTGCAGGATTTCGTCCATCCACAGTATTGGGTATGTAGCCTCGATGCACATAAAACCAACCTCAACATCTAGGAAACTGTCACTTTACTGGGGAAAACCATATAGAGAAAGAGACATCCGAATCCCGCATGCCCCTAGATATTTTCACGGAACCTCATGCTTGCGGGTTGCCAAAATTGGCCCTGTTGAAAGGACAGCACAAAGACGGCACCATGGTCCAAAAAGGTCATATGTTTCACAACCCCCCGAGTCCAAAAATAAGCCCTCTTGATACGCAAGATGCGGGCCCCATCCCACTGCTTGATCACGCCCCACACGGCAGTGAAGAAAGATAGCGACCTGGAACAGAATCCAACAAAGGCCTCTGAAGCAAATCCA